AAAAATGGTTGGCAAAATTCAATGGACGTGCGAGCGAGTGTCGAATGCATTCAAGCATTCAAGCCGCAATAAAAAACGCTGTAATTTTGCATGGTTCACTGGTAGTATCATTGAATTGTTGGATAGAAACTAGAGCAGGAGGTGTGTGTGTCTGTGTGTCTGCTGTGCAATTTCAATCGTTATCCATATCCGATATGTGTAATGGCTGCCAAGAGGCAGACACTGCCATTCAATAATCTTTCACTTTACCGGGGAGACTTGCAGAAAGAAAAAATGGAAACTGAAACAAGAGCAGGAAATAGAGAGAGCCAACAGGACATAGAAGCTTCATTCCAGATTGTTTTCAATTAACTTTTAAGTTTTGTGGCATAAAATACTTAATTTACCATTAGGTTCATTTATAATATAATTAAAAAGCTACAAAATTATAGTTTAATGTAAGAAAAAAACACTGGGGAGACTTGGTAAAGAACAAATGGAAACTAAAGCAAGAGCAGGAAATAGAGAAAGCCAACAGGACATAGAAGCTTCATTTCAGATTGTTTTCAATTTAAATTAAGTTATGTGACAATAATTGAATTTATAAGTTAAAATACTAAGAAAGTATGGTCTAATCGAAGAAATAACCAGGAAAAAGTATCTTTTCCAGCATTTACTTAATATTTAAAAGGCTCTACAAATAAATTCCATTATTTCCATGCCTCGCAGTCCCTTGGTTGCTATCTTATTAGACAAGCGAAGTGAAATTTGAGTTGGACAACAAAGGACATTTGACAATTGAGAGATGACAAATGACCAACTGGGAAAAACTAGAGCTTGGAGGGCAGCAAGGAGCTCCAGGGAGCTGCGAGAAGTTCTAGGGAGCTACGAGGAGATCGGGGAAGCTGGCGATTGATTGCATTATAGATGATGTCCCTTCTGGCCACGCCCCTTCGCTCTCCCTCTCCCTGTGGACTTTTAGTCCCGGTAACTGGGTATTTATTTGTATTCAATCTGTTTGCCTGTTTGTTAGTTGGTTTTCAAATGTTTGCACGAGCAAACACAAAAGACGCCGCAGCACTCAGTTGGATTCAGTCGAGTTGAGTTGCGTTGAGTTCTACCTGTTTCAACAGCAGCAGCAGCAGCAGCATCAACCATCACTCCACATTTTCATTCACTCCCCCGCCGGCAACCGCCGACGACAAATTGTGTCAATATTTGTTACCACTGACGAGCCAAGAGATTTAATTTCCTCTTATCGAACTGGGATGACTCGCATCCATCGGGTGCATGGGGTGTGTGGATGTGGATGCGTACCCTAACATGGAAACAAAGGGCAGTTGTCATCAATATTGCTCAAACAGAATCAAGTATCCTGTCCTGTTCTGTCTTACCTCCTGTCCGGCTGTGTCCAGTCCAGTGTCCCGGTCACACGGAATGCTTCACTTTCCACACAGATATGGCCAATCGAGCGAGCAAGCGGCAAGCATCGCTCATTGTTAAGCTGCAGCAAACTGCAGCTGGACTCCACTAAGCCACCAAAAGATGTGGTCAGGTTCCTTTCGGCGATGCTGGCTTTGTGCCTGCTCATCCGGCACAAGAGGGATAGTTAATTGCTGGCTAAACAGAAGCCCCACACTCCCCTTTGGGGGTGGGTTTCAGTAATCAATATCAAGCATACGCCAGGTGTGCCGGTCAGAGCTTAAGTCCCGCAGTATTCTGTCGGACAGCTAAAAGCCCTATATTACAAATTTATGCAGACCATCTTGATTGACCGATTAGGGGGCAAAGCCTTAATACGGTGGGGAAAATTTAATGTAAGAGCAGATGGGATATATGAAAATAATTAAGTCAAATATAACAAAAAGACTGGGAAACTTGTGAGGAAACTCAAAGTAAAGTATGGGAAAAGAATTCGATAAATTGTACTATTAATTCCAAACCATTTAATTTAAAACAAAATTCATCAATTTCTTGTCATATAATCCCCGAAAATAAAGGTTTACATTTCCCTCAGGCCTATAATTTATTAAAGTTTATCTCAAAGATCGAAACATCACAAATTTGTTAGCAATTATTTAACCTGTACACCCCATTGTACAAAGACCCCTAATTTCCACGCACTTTGTATGCCAGTCGCGTATCCATTTCCAGGAAAATCCTTAGCAAATAAAACATTTTCCTTTCTCTCTCCCCAATCTTTTTCCTTCTCTATGGTTCTATGTTTTCTCCATGTTTCTTATTTTTGTTTTTTTGGAACTTCAGCCAAGCTGGATGGCGTGAAGACGTACATGCGGATGCGACGTGTGCCGAATCATCTGCAGGTGAAGGTCATCAAATGGTTCGATTACCTGTGGCTCACGCAAAAATGCTCGGACGAGGAGCGCGCCGTGTCCTGTCTTCCTGATAAATTAAAGGTAAGTACGCCAGCCGGAACACGATTTGTCCATTACCATTGGAAGGAGAAATCTATACCAATGACGATGACTAAGATACTGATACCGTTTTTCCCTTCGGCAGGCTGAAATAGCAATTAACGTCCATTTAGATACACTTAAGCGGGTGGAGATTTTCCAAAACACCGAGGCCGGTTTCCTATGCGAGCTGGTCCTACGCCTGAGGCCGGTGCTCTTCTCGCCCGGCGACTACATCTGCCGAAAGGGTGAGTATCCTTAATACGAACAAAATACAATTTTTTTTGTTTTATTTGAATTCTCGGACATTTTCCCGACAACAGGTGAGGTGGGCAAGGAGATGTATATTGTGAATCGAGGACGATTGCAGGTGGTGGCCGACAATGGAAAGACGGTGATGGCCTCCCTGAAGGCCGGTTCCTATTTTGGCGAGATTAGTATACTCAATATGGGCACCGCAGGTAAAGAACTTGGTAAATATCCCGTTTTAGTGCGACAGGCGGAACAATAACGATAACGTAACTACTACAACAACCTTCCCCCAGAAAAAATCAAAATAAACCGAAACCAAAAACCAATGAAAATGAAAATCTATTAATCAAACAAAGACGACACACTCTACTATAAATCACACAAAAAATCTAGAAAGCATATAACGTATATCTCTATCTCTCTGTGTCTCTATCTGTGGAATGTGTAATTGTCTAAAAATAAGTGTTAACTGGAAAGTTCGAACAGAACCCGCCCGCCCCTTGCGAAGCAATAGATTAGAGACCCTTTAGCACATGTGAACCCAACCACAGAGCACTCGAATCAATATTTATAGAATTTACATTTTAATTTATAAATATCTGTCATATGGAAAATAAAATTTTCGTTTTTTTTTGCTCTTTGTCACTTTAAATTGTTCATCTGCACACGCACATGCTATATAGATCTTTTTTTTTATTTTTTTGTTGATGCCCTAAGAGTGTGGAACGAATTTTTTATTACACTTTCCCCCGGCCCTCTCACGTGTCTGAAAAATTAATGAATGTCAAATGCAATTATAGCACCTGCATGCACTCGCACGGGTCTCCCGGACGCTGCTCCCTCTTGATTTTATTGTTCCCGACATTTTTATTGTAGGGATACTATAAAAATGCGCGAAATAATTGTGGTTGGCATAAAAAACGATCAGTGTTAAAAAACAAACGCAGTTAACGCCGCTTTAATTTCATTTAATAGTTGCGAGGACCAGCCAACCGTGAAGTTGATTCGGGACGGGGGGAGGGGAATGATATTTCGACCCTGTCGCGGTCATAATTAACCAAGGAATGTGGGTGTCCTTGCATGTGAGATACATCTATGTATTTGTGTATCTGTGAGTTGCAGCATACTTCAAGGCGTCAACACAAACACCGGGAATCGGGGTTACACCATGAACCGTGAGAGGCAACTAATTGAGTTTGCTGAATGGCAGGAGTTGTTGCCAACTCAATTTGAAGACAAAAGTTAAGGTGGCCCGAAAGTTTTACGCCTCGAAGGCTAGGGAGGCCCTAAGTACGACACAAACACACACACACACACAACTAAATCGAATTGTTTAAAGTGCCTTTGTGTTTCTGCATGATTTAAAAGCATTATTCTTGGTCCTGGTGCCATTCGTGTTCGATCAACGGTGAGAATCGCCTCGAGGACTTTTCGCACTGAAATGCAATTTCTTACGCTAGTTAGACGCTCCACCTTTCCCTCTCTCTCTCTATCTAAATCTGTCTCTGTCTCTATATTTTAATCTGTCTCTCTCTATCTATCTATATATACATATATATATATATATTTGTCTCTGAGTCGATGTTGTTGTTGTATTGCTTTGCCTGGACGTAATTTAAACGTTTCTCTACACGTAATTGTATTGAGAGTTGTGTAATTAACATTAAGTATACGACCCATTGACACAAGCCACAGACACACATACACCTCCAAACGATTCTTCATGTTACAAGAGACGGAGAGCTGTGGTAATTGCATGACATGTAAGGGGAGATTTTGAAAATGTATTAAAGGAAAAAAGGCTTTGGAAAATATTGGATAAAATAATCATGGAATTTAGAAATGTTTAAATACTTTTTCTGGTAAAAAGATTCAATTTATCGAAGGTTTATTAAGAGAAAAGAAACTAAACTTTACATAAAATCAATCAAATAAGGCACAAAGTTACTTGAAAAATTTATAAAAATAGCTCTATAAAATCCTGCCAAGCTAAATATTAGCTTTATCTTTTAAAAATTTGTTTGGTGAATTATTTTCATGTATAAGCTAAATGTTTGTTTCAATGATTTTAATCAAAACATGTCTGTCATTGAACCCATTTAATATTTACTCGCCGAGAGATAAAATACAAGTCCTTGGGTCCTGTCTATTTTCTGCCTCGACCTTTATATCCATATTGTGTGGCATGCAATTTTAATGTCTTTGTGCGGCCAAGTCAACATGAAGAATGGACAGACACACAAACATATACAGCGACTCGAAGAACACAGCAACTCAAGCCGGGAAATGCTTTTTTGCAAGACCATTAAACTTTTCTCTTTGCGTTGGCAAACATTTGCTTTGGCAACTTTCACGATGCGAAACAAAAACACAGGCAACCGACGCACAGCCAGCGTACGCTCGGTGGGATATAGCGACCTCTTCGTCCTGAGCAAGAAGGACATGTGGGACGTGCTGAAGGAGTATCCGGCGGCGCGTGTTCGTCTGGAGTCGATAGCCGTCAAGCGATTGGAGAAGTACAAGAAGGCACCGCTGGAGAAAGGTAAAGCCACTTGTCTTATTTGCTTCCCTCCCCGGTGTCCTGTTCCCCATCCTCCTGCCTCCTGCCTCCTGCCCACAACAACCACACAATATTATCCCATTCCAATAAAGAATCCCCTCCGCCCAACCCCGACCTTTTCTCTCCCCCCTAAAAAACAAACACCACTCGAAATTCAAAAGATACGAATACAAATACGATTGCCCCAGAATAACACGATTCGATTGTTTTCGCCTTCCGTTCCGTCTTTCCGTCTCTCCTTCTCTGCCTTTTTTTTGTCGTTTATCGATTTCATTTGCGTCCGCTTTCGGTTGTGAACGATTTTGATTTAAAAACACAGTCAAATACTTTAATGTAGTTGCCATGGGTCGCTGCCAATCGACGCCGGGCCTAGTCGAGAGCTGTGGCCGCACATCGCTCGAGGAGATGTGGCTGCCACCGGCAACTATGCACCACCATCAGCAGTTACAGCAGCATCAGCAGCAGCTCCAACAGCAGCAGCAGCAGCAGCAGCAGCAGCAGCTCCAGCAGCAGCATCAGGCGGCCCAGCAGCAGCAGCAACAGCATCTGCCACATCGGCAAGAGTCCACGCAACAATCCTCTCAGTCGCATGGTTACAGGTGAGATTCTCCTTCAGCCACGTTTGAATTTGTGGTTTCGGAACAACAGCACTTCAGGGGGAATGTGTTTTAAATCGAGTGTGTATTTCAGGGCGGTTTTTAATGGGTACTCGATGGGTGAAGGGGTTTGTGCCTTCATTATAGTGCTATTTTTCCTATATCCTTTTTAAATACCCAACTAATGGTCTGTCCTTAAAGCCCCCGCAGCTATGCCGACCGCCTGGCCAGGGCCACCGACTCCCCCAGATCGGTTAGCCCCAGTGCCCACGGGTCCGAGGAGCGACCACGAAGTAGAGCCACCTCGCACCACTCAATAAGACCCCAATCGCAGCCGAGTCACACGGGTAAGTACAGCATAAAGACAGGGATTAAATCTGATGCCAGACTACAGCATAAGCTATGAACTTGTACCTTTCGCCCCCTCCCTGTTTAGGTCACATCTGCGACTCCAGTCTGCAGCTAGAGTGCTATGGAGCAGGCGTAGGGGGAGCCGGTGGCGGAACCACACCACTCCTGGGCTCCCATGAAGCTCTCGAGGATGAGATCAAGCGGCTGAGGGAACGCCTGCATACAGTGGAATCAGAGAATCAGGCTCTGAATACAAAACTATCGCAGCAACAGTGGGATCTGGAGAATCGACTGGCCGAGATCGAGATGCAGATCTGCGGCGTGTCGTCCACATCGAGCGTGGATCCTGAGAATGAGACCGAGGAACTGGAACGGAACAGAGAGAGTATCATATAACACGGGAGCGTGCTGCCCCATCAGGCGATCGGTATGGTGTACATATCATGTTCCTCATGACTCCACGATCATCATCGATCATCTGACAACTACTGACTGCATCCGAGGCAAGGCTGGCGAGGATTATCATCATCAGCGGGTGCCATCATAAAACCGCATCATATCGCATCTAAACTCTCGCCCCCTCAATATCTCCACCGCTCTCTATCTGTCTGTTGTGTTTCTCTCCCTCTTTGTTATGTTGTGTGTGAATCTTACTCTCTCTATGTGTGTGCGTGTGTGTGTTGTGCATGCATCCTAACGAATGCCTTACTAACAAATAAAAACCATGACCATGACCAGGAGCAGCAGCAGCTATACAGCGGCAGGAGGAACTGGCTGGGGACCGAGAGATGCCGATGCCGATGCCGATGGCGATGCAGGATCAGAGGAGACCACTCGAATCAGAGACAGGGACTCAGACCTGTGCCAAGTACTGCTCGCTTTAGGGCACAGGAACGAGGAGAGAGATAGAGAGGGGAGGATGCAGAGAGGTGATGGCCAGATATGTACCCCCAAGATGTGCAATTAATATCTCTTATGATCAAGCGACACCAAAAGAAAATATCCAACAAAATAAAGGTGGCACTGCCAATGGAAAATTTGTTTAAAAAAAGCGCCAAAGCCCATGTGTAAATATATATAGAGAGATGGAAAACCTCTCAGATCAAAAGAACATAGTAAATGTAATGGGATGAGTTGGGCGGCGCCAGAGATCGGAAGAGCTTTAATAGACATTCCGAGAGAGAACTTTTCCCAAAAAGCAAAAACACAACTTGTAACCCTAAACACACTAACACTTTTTCAAAACTAAAAAACAAAAATCAGAAATAGATTCGAGATTTATATAGGAAACATCATTAGGCCTAGACGCTCTTCGCTCCTTTTTAAAACAAAAATTGGTTACTCAACCAAAACACGAAACGGGTACTCGAGATCCCATTGTAAATAATTTCGCTCTAGAAACACTCCAATTAGCATAACCCAACTCTAGAGATCATCTGAAGAAATAGCTAAAACAAAATTACTTTAACTCATGAGTGTAACAAATGAATACATATATATATCTATTGTAATATTTGCTAATTGTAATTCGAAAACATGAAAATTTACTAGATGTGTATATGGGAAACGATTTACTTTAAAACTGAAAATAATGCATAAACAATTTATGGACAACTAAGTGAATATTTGCAAAATATTTGTACTATTGGAAAAGAACTGCCAGAGCATACACCACACACTCGAAAAAAACAAAAAACAAAAACTATATTAATAATTATGAGGATGAATGAAAACTCAAAGGATAAAGCTATAAATATTAAACTATTATTAAAAACCCAATATAAATGAGTAGATCAGTCAAAAGGAAACCACTTTTAATGCAATATTATATTGTACTGCTGTCGTATATGGTCGTATATCTAAATGATATATATATACATATACGTATATATGTATATATATATATGATATGGTAAAAGTTTAAAGGTCTAAATGTATTTAACTTTAGTTAGTTGCCAAACAAAAAAAAGGAAAAGAAAACCAATGCTGAAGATTGTAGTTGAGAAAAGGAAAAAAACACAGATTAATTAATTAATTAAGGCCAGTGAGGGTTCTGTAGCAGAACACAGAACGCAGTTCAAGAATCCCCATAATATGGGGCAGCTGCGGCAAGAAGAATGAATTAGTTTAGCCAGTAACTCTAGTTATACCTAGTTATACCATTAGATGTGTACCAGAGAAGACCAAAAAAACCAAAAACCAGAGATCCAATCGCGATCGTTTATGAAAATTGTTCAGTGTCAACTCCAAGGAAAAACAGAAGAGATAAACATTTAAAAAACCAGAACCTGGGTTGATAAGGAAATCTAATAATTATATAGCTAAATCGAATAAGATTCTTAACTTTACAGAACGAAAGAGCACGGATACGTTTGAGTATCTGCCGAAGGAAACGGAAACTTGAAACTGGAACGAAACTCATTTCATGCCAACAAAAAAGAAAGAAAAACTAAAAAATTAACAAAGCCAAAAACTTGAACTCAAATTTTGTTAGAATTCTCCTTAGATTTTCGTCAACGAGATATATACATAATTAATTTTCGATTTTCTAGTGAGCAACAAATAGAAGGAAATTCCTCTTCTTTTTCCACATTTTTCAACCTAATTACTTTTCGAAATTATCATATAACGGATTAATTAACAAATTAATTAATAATTACAATAAACATCAAAATGGGGTTTCATCTAAGACAAAGGCTTATACCAGGGGCAAGAGGATAGCGTTAAATGAAAGCTAACGCCGCAAAACTTGTCAGGATTTATCGCGGAGTTTTTTGGGTTCTTTAGTTAGCCAAAAGTTAAAGTTGAATATAAATAACTAAATTAAATTTAATTAAATTTGTATGGCTTATTAGCACGCTTACCGGCCACAGCAGGACGCTCTGTCGTTCGTTAGATTCATTATTCCCTCTGATTTCTCCAAGTGTTTTCCGTTAGAGCGCATGTGTATAGACATATATATAAATATATATCTATTTGTTATATTGAACGTATAATACAAGGAACTACATCGATTCGGTTGTGTTGTTGATGTTGATGATGGTGGAGTTTGAATGGCTTACATAATGATAGGTTTTTACATTATTTTATGCATTGCAATCTATATGAAAGAAAACAAAACAAGAACATTTATAGCTTTATTTTTACTATAAATTAATTAATTTATAAGAACTACAAAAGACGGTAAATTAGTTCAGCATTCATAGCTTACTCAGAGAACGAGGCGAGTCAGAGTTCTCGCAAAAGAGATCATCTCATTCAAGGCGAGAAAAGGCATTTTTAATCAAATCAGATCAGAAAAGGGCCCCGATTTGCAGCAGGTAAATCGAGCTTATCGTGCGAGAGTTTCAAAGCCGTTTACATTGCTGAACAACTCTGTAATCTTGAACAAAAATATATACATAAAAACTAAAAAAGGGTAAAGAAACAAATGAGAAATTATAAATTAAAGCCACAGAACAAGAAAAGCGCAGAAGGGAAATACAAATAAAATCAAAAAAACAAAACAAGAAATTCTTAATACATGAAAATCGTGCGTTTCGTTTATGCCTCTGGGTTTGGGTAGGGGAAATCCAGCGACTCATCCATCGATCCGATCGAATGCAACCTGCATGTCGTAATCAATGAGATCTGAGAAAGAGCCGCAAAATTGTTCAATTACAAAAGGCAGAGCCAAAAACCACACACTCATCGCATTGCCGACGCCTGCAATTAACGAGCTGGTTGAGTAGTCGAGTCCATTAGGCCAACACTTGAGTCGAGTCGCGTTGCGTTGCGTTGCGTCCCCGCAGAACGTTAACGTTAACAACTCTAACCAACTAACTTTGGGTAAGCGGAAACCGAGCAACGTGAGCGAATTGAGAGCCCAAAACAAAGACGGCCAAACAAAACAAGCCGAGATCGCAACGATGACGTCGCTCCCAGTTTCCAGTGGAAGCTTCACAAGCAAAGAGCTTTTGGCTCAAACGGATCCCTCGGAGCTGCTGCCAGTGTCAGTCGTTGTGAGCAACTCGTGCGCGCTGGACGTGTTTTTTCTTACCCTGAGAAACTCTTTCCCTCTTGTCCCCGAAAGCGAATCGAAGAAGTGTAAGCAACAAGTGCCAAAAAAAATAAGGGAAATAAAACAAAACTCCGGTCTTGTACTCGTACCTACTTGCTTGTGCTGTGCTGTGTGATGTGTGCTGCGCCCCCTTCCGACTTTTTAATAATAAACTTCTGATGTCTAACGTTAACTACATATTTTTTATGGATCTTCATGTGCCAGAGTTGCTCTTTGCTTTTGTGTTTAATTTCGACTCTATTTTGTTGTCTTTTTCTTCGTTGACTTTGCGTGTTGCGAGCGTTGTTCTAATTTTTTTAGCTGCTGCTTAAATTAGAGGGGCCCATACATACTTACTGTATCTATAAGTATATATGTTATATAGATATATTTCCGAGCGGAATTTGTGCTAAACACGTGAACGGTCTCTGGCTGCGGGTCTGGGCCGTGTGAAAAGCATAAATACCAAAAGTCGGCAGTTATAAGATATTCAGATTCAAGATATCTGGCCTAGCCCATTGCATAATAGGCGAATGCGAGGGGAAGCGAAAACACACAAGCAAAACCGAAAGCGAATCTGAATCTCGAGTCTGACTCTGAGTCTGAGTCTCTCCGGGCTGAATCTGAATCTGGTTTTTCCGTTGGCTCTGTTCGATTGGTTTTCGCTGTTAGCTGGGCTAACAAACAAATAAAACCTTTTTCTCCAACTGTAATTGCGGCGGCTTTTAGGCGAAATAAACGAGATAGAGTAATGGGCAAAAATTAAAAAACAATAGAACGCGCACTCACTTGCGCCAAGAAGGTTTGGCTTGGCTGCGCTTTGGCGACGCCTAACGGCATTAATCAAGAGACTGAGGGCGCAAGCACCTCAGAGCCTCGCGTAATCAAAAGACTGAAGACACAAACTTGGCAGCGCCCCCTAAAATGTAGCTAAGTGCGGTTTTGTTTGGTTTGTCTGTCTATCTGCGAGTATGTGCTGCTTGGAGTGCTTTTCTATTTATGACAAACAGCTATAAAAATGTTGCCAAAAATAAACGCTTGTTTGCCATAGAAGCATGCGCTAATGAGCCATCGTTTAGCTTTGAGGCGTGGCAAGTGTTACAATCGCATTTGGCCGACAGGAAATAGAATATGTAATATAACAAAACAACAACTAATGGCCTCCGTCTACCGCACGTCTAGTAGTGAAGTTCAAGACCCCAATTCAGGCTTAAATGATCTAACACTAAAAATATAAAAAAATAGCGGTAATAATTGGAAAAGTAAATACATTAAAATGTATTTTTTCAACGGAAATCTTTTCTTTCTAACACATTTTAATAGATCTGTTAATAGCTATACAGCTGGTAATAAAAAATCATCTATAAATATATAAAACACAACTCTTCAAAGGGAATCATCATAAACCCCTTTGGGTAATCCGCTCCAAATCAATATACAACACTCTTCATTCATTTTTCAAAAACGATCCAAGAACATCCGAGCATTTTATAGTAAATTCTTTAACCCATCCATCAAATATAATTATGGGCTTCACCTCCACACTCCAGTTAGTCTCATATATATTTCAAAGTTAATGACGTTGTCATAGAACATTTAGCCAAATATACATTCCCACAGATATGGGGCTTAGCTCGAAACAGAGTTGTAGATTCTCACTTTAAAATCATTGAGAAATCAATGGCCATTTGGTGGTGCTCGGTTTTGGCACAAATCAAAACTTGAAATCTCACCCACGTCTAGAACGAGGCGTTGAACCACCACGCCATGTGGGTGGCACCTCGATGACGACGACTCTGACTCTGACTCTGAGATTTCGCTGATCGTGTGGGTTGGCTAGCAAGGCAAAAAAAGCAAATATATATATTCGTATATATTCGGACAGCAAACAAATCGAAAAGTGTAAAAAATACCAGACACCTACGTGCACATCGCATTCTGTGTTATAGATACACCAATATACAGATATTCAGCACGATATTCGGGAATTACGTAATGCCCTAAACTAGGTGTGTTCACTGCTGGCCCCTCTTCTACCAATTTTAGTCACGACTCCCGGACTCAACAACACTTTCGATGTTTGCTCTGCGCCGCTGACCAACTAAGCAAACTGGCCTGCAAATTGGTCAGTGCGTCAGAGACATTCCCCGTGTTGCCATTACCTTGCCCATTTTCATTTCCATTTCCATTCCCATGACCTTGCCTCGAGCGGAATATATAGAACACGGCGAGGAGTGGAGCTCATTCCACTCCAGCAACGAGTGATGGCGAGTGCAACTAATTAGGTTCATTGCCAATGTCAAGTGTCAGTGGATGACATCAGTCGCGGGATCACTCATAAGTTGGAGGAGCAATTCATTTATTTCCACTTTTTTGCTGTTCCCCTTGCCATTTAATTTATGCAGTCCAAGCAACGCAGTTTTGTCACTGAGAAAAATAACAATAGCTTGTTTCAGTTTGTCATCTCTCTTAATACATTAAAGTTAATTTAACATAAAAGTTATACATTAAAAGTCTCCTCCTCCTTTTTTTTAAGTTGTAGGATCTCCCTTTTAAAGGGAAAGGAAATCCTTTAAGATATTGGTTGCTTGACAGTCATTAAAAATATACATTTCACGTTTCTGAAATATTTCTCAGGTCTTCCACATTTAAGGGCATTATTTACTTACAATTAAATACCTGAAACGATGACCAATTTCGGTGTTATTTCTTTTTACCTCTGTACTCTCCTGTATTGCCTGCTCAAGCTACAACTCATCGCTGTGCTCGGGGCAGCAGCAAGTGATGATGAGTGATGTCATCTCAGAGTTGTTTACCTTTAGCTCTACGAAAAGTGTTTGTCAATAAATAGTATTTGGAAATCTGCATACCAGCCTTGCTCAGAACTGGACATGCTATGATATATGTGCTAGCTTGTTGGAAACGCAACCGGATTTCCTACAATTAAGTCGGTTAGACCGTCTTTTGACGCCTCGTTGTCTTCGCGACATGGTTGCTGGGTGTGTGGAATAATGCCAAGTTGAAATTTCGATTTGTTAGCCCGCTGGTATGTATTTGTCTAACTTTCGGTTTGCACAAATTGTTAAGGTAAAAGTGCGACGACAAGTGAAAACAGGCAAACAATTGACAATTGATCGTGGCAGATTTCATTACTGTGATTGCAATTGTGATTACAATCATTATCATCGGCGGTGGCTCCCACGTTTACACACACGCTGCTTGCTGCTTGCTGTTGGCTGTTGGCTGGCCTTCTGGCTTGGCGTTTTGTGAAAGACTTGCTCAAACGTCAACATTCACATTCGCAGCTTCAGCCTCAGCCTCAGCCACATCCACATCCAACAGCTCTGCCCACCAGATCTGCTCGCTTTTGCTGCGGCGAAATTCCAAACTAAGTGATTTCTGTTATTTTTTCAGACTCTTTTTTGTTGTTGTTATTGTTGTTTGTGTTTTGTTATTTTTGTATTCAATTTTCCTTTTCGCCCGCTTCGTTTTGGCTTGGAAGCGACGAAACCAGTTTTGCTTTATAGCCAGATTCAGAGATATTCGCACACACACTCGCACACATTCGCTCTGGTGGAAACCCCCCCGCATTTTTCTCCTGCTGCCGCCTCGGGTTTGCTCTCTGGAGTTAAAGCTTTGAGCTTTGGCCATGACGTCATGGTTTGTTTTGGCCAGGCCTAGCTAGAGAGCAGCCCCGCTCGGAGATCGAACTAAGGCTGCGGCTAAAACAGTTCGCTTCGAGCTGCGAGCGTGTGCAAAACGAAACGAAACTGAAACCGAAATCGAAACCGAGTCGCGTCTGATCAATTGAAATTCTTCTGACCAATTTTTTCCCCCTGATCATCAGTGTTTGAACGAGAGTTACACCTGTACATATGTACGAGTCGAGCTGTGTTGTGCAGTGACACGTGCGGTGAGCGAAGAGCGAGAGCGAGTGACTGACGTGCGATGGACGTCAAGGACATAAAAGGCGCCAAGGTGACGCATGCGGGACTGCTAAAGCACAACTCCGATGGCAGCACCGAGACGCAGAAGATCACCCACGCCGGACTGGTGGCCCGCAGTCCCGAGGGCACCGCCGCCAAGGGTATGAACATCCGCGGCAACGAGGATCTGTGGGTGGAGATCCAAGCGAACACATTCCGCAACTGGGTCAACGAGCACCTGCGCGAGACGGGAATGCAGGTGAGCTTATAGCACATACAATACGAAACATTTCATTCCGATCCCCCTCCCCCGTAGCATTCACAGGCAGTTATGTAACACTTTCTAACCGACTGAGTCTGATCGATGAAGCGCAAAAAAACAATTACCCAATCAATGGGTCGGGTCCGTTGAATATACATTTTGTAGAACTATCAATCCGAAGCAGGGCCTGAGAACACACATAAAATACAAATCGTTTAGATTCAGGAATGTGTTCACGGAAATGTGGTAGCTTTACCTAAGGTCGCTCTAAGCTAACAGAAATAATAATGTAAACTAGTGAGGAAAAACAAGTGAACATGATTGTACAAAATTGACATATTATCTAACTTTATACTTTAAATTATTCAAGATATCTGCTAAGCTTAAAAACAAATCAAATATTTATGCAAATATTCAGAACATTTCAGGGCAGACAATTCAAACCCAAATCAGTATACAAATCAAGGTTAAAGATCATACTTTTATGTCCATAGTATACCGATTCCATTCAAGCTAAATATGAGCAAAATTACGACAGGTGACAGAGTCCATAAAAAAATATCAATTCCCCATCATAAACTGGAGCTCCAAGCTCTGAGCTCTTCCGCAAGTTGCCTTAAATGGCCCGGGCTCATAAAACTCAGCTCAAACGCCCCCGCAGAGCAGCGACTTCAATGGCAGCCACTGGCTCCAGCGATTACAATTACAATTAATTCCAAGAGTACTCGCACGGATTACGTACGTACTCACAACAATGCATTTCATTTGTCCAGGGACTTTTCGGTTGCGATTGTCACTCAAAAAACAGTCGGATTTTCTCACACGCACCGAACTGAGCGACCTGAGGCGACCATATTTGGCCGGTTGAATGCCAAGGCCAACGCATCGCATCGAATTGGATTCCCATTACCAGTTACAATACACAAAACAAGCTAAAGCTTTTTGGCCGCGATCTTGTCCAGTTTTGTGTATAATTTTCGTGTGTTTTTGTTTCGGCTGGGCCAAAAATGAATGCGATGAGCAAGGCTGTAGACCCCTAAGTAAGCAGCGCTAATTGAGAGCCAGGCCGAAGTGACCTGGAGTCCGCATCTATTTGGGTCAGCAAACCAAAACGAGACTGCCAAGTTTGCGCTTTTTTGCGCTGTTTACAAACCACTTATTCTAGCTCATGCGTACCATATGAGACAAATATGACATATGCATAAAGACAAGAATATGAAAGAGATACTGTGAAGAAGACAAAATACCCTAAGCCAAAAATAGGAGAGCTAACCCCACTTACACTTCGAAAACTTATGTCAAACAAGAAACTTCATTGTTGTCCAATTAAACAAACATTCTGATATGCCAAACTTAAATTTGATACTTGTATGAATGTACTATACACAATCATATATGAAAAGTATGTAAAACAAGATATGAATAAATAAAATCATATTTTTTTCTTGTAAATACATTGTATCACGCTGATCATCTCGCTCTCTCCATAGACTGAGTGTAGGAGGAGGCATACATAAATTTCACATGCAAATAAATATTCACTCTAAAAATGAGAAATATTCTGTGTATGAAGAAAAATGCCACTCCCCTGTGTAACTTCATATCGTAAAAGCGGGATGAGGCATCTTAAAAATTTAAAGGTTGTGCGCACAGAATAATAACAGCAACAACAACAACGACAAATAACAACCTGCGGCAGCTTGTTAGAGAGCGATGGCGCAACTATGTGCGAGATTTTTATGGCATCCAATGAATATTTTCCTAGGCACAAACAAACAGCTACAGACACGCGATTGTCTCTGACTCCGTCTCAGGTTTGCCAGTTCGCCAGTTCGCCAGTTTACCAGTCTGCCAGTCCGCCAGTTCTCTAGTTCGCCGGCTGAATGCTGACAGCCACCAGATAAAAAGCTTTATGTCAAATGCTTAAAATCGCGCACAATTGGCTGCACCCGGACGGAGAAAGCCGCTCAGTTCCGAACTCAGCGAACCTGTTGGGTTCCCATGCCCATGCTCCATGCAGGCGGCAGTTCACCTTGTAAAGTGGGCCAACAGTTTGCGGAAGGGGCGGCTGGGCCGGCCCGTTGCCGTTGATTGCTCATTAGGAAGGCTGCCTGTCAAGCGGCCTTCTTGCATATGAACCGACATGGGAGGGCGGGCGCCTCACACGTTTGCTAATCTGTAATGGGAATTATGTATACACAGGTACCGTCAAGTCCTATATTCCTAAGATTTGCCTAAACAATTGAATAATTTCTGTAAACACCAAAACTGTCGAGTCAGTTAGGAAAACTCGAGTGAGACAAGTTGGCCTATTGTTGTACTTAGCTTAGATATTATAGCTTGGTATTTTCGGGAATTTTTCAAGTTCCATTGTTTAAAATATGAATTTAAACAGATTTGTAATTTCTGAGACAATTTCGAGATAATTCATAGGAAATTAGCCAAAAAAACTCCAAATAAATTAAACGATGAAGTCTTTTAAAATATGGTTGCTTAACAGATAATTACCCTAGCTCTAACTAATTAGTATACCTAGTCCCCTATCACATCCCAGATACAATTTCTATAGAAATAAAGCAATGTATATCAAACATTATTTTTGGATCTTTTCAGGTGCATGACTGGGCTACGGATTTCTGCGATGGTACTTGCCTGTGCGCTCTTGTCGAGAGCCTGCAGACGCGTCCGCTGAAACCGTCATGGAATCGGCGACCGGCCAATCAACATCACTACCTGGAGAACGCCACGACGGCGCTGAAGTCCATCGAAGCGGACCACATTAAGCTGGTGAACATCGGCAATGTGGACATCGTGAATGGCAATGTTAAGCTGATCCTGGGACTGATCTGGTCGCTGATTGTGCGCTACCAGATCGGACGCAGCAAGTTCCCGCCACGCAAGCTGATGCTGGCCTGGCTGCAGGCCGCTCTTCCAGATTGCAGGATCACTAATTTGACCACCGATTGGAATAGTGGCGTTAATTTGGCGGCACTCTTGGATTATTGCCAGCCGGGCTTGTTCCCGCACTGGCGAAGCCTGGATCCTGGCCAGAGTGTGCGAAACTGTACGCAGGCAATGGACCTGGCACAGCGCGAATTTGGAGTTCCAAAAGTACTGGAACCGGAGTATTTGGCCTCACCCTGGCTGGATGAGTTGTCCGGCATGACGTATTTGTCGTACTTCATGAAGCCTGGGGTCCTGGTTATAATGCCACGATGCGGTGGGTCAATACACAGGTCAAAGATCCAGTCAAGAACTTTACGGTGAGTCGGAGAAAAACACAAAATACAAATGGCGCATTCTCGTTTTGCAACACTAAATCTTGGTTGGTGGCTGCATGGGCGTAGCGGATAGGAATTAAAAAGGATTTGATGCGGAAAGTTTTAGATGACAATTAATTAGAGTGAAGAAATCGGAGATATTAGTTAAACATTATTATTTATTTAAATTTATTTATTTACATTTTATTACTGATCTCCTTCCGATCCCTAAAGCTAACCCCTTTCCCCGTTTTTGCATACCATGCGCCGTCTTCTAAACGCGGTCACACTACGAAGCCGTTTTCCAACCCTGTGCCACAAAAAGTTCCTTTGGTTTCATGTGCGTGCCGAGAGGGGTTTTGGGGTAAAAAGCGCCCGAGCATGAAAACTTTGCTATAATTTTTAATGCGTGTAATATCAGGCGGCGCATATTTCTTTTGATTTGTATGAAACAGTTCTACACTGAAATTCCAGTGCAATCAAATAATTTTACAATAGAAAAATTTTATAAAATTAATATTTCTTGACTACGACCATGTATAAAAAAGGAAACATAATGGCGTCCAGCCACTGCTTACGGTTGTTAACACTACAACTTCGTTGGCGATCAAATGGAAGTATTAGAAATCTAAAAGTCGATTAAATAATGAAATTTGATTGCTGCATTTGCATTGCCTTTAAAAAACTGCAAAGGCGCTGGCAGAGACGAAATACTTATTGTGCAGTGAGTGCTCTTAACGCCATTTCACCGTCCATTTAACTCTTTGCCGCCAGTCCTTTAATTGCGTTTTAATTTTCATTCGGACTTGCAGACCGATTGGAACGATGGACGCGTGATGTGCGAAGTTATTAAGGGACTTGGCGGACCTGCGCCTGCTCCGGAAAAGCTCAGCACAGATCCCTTCCACTACGAGAACAATATTCGGAAGGCGGTGGATGCGGGCGCCCGGTTGGGCGTGCAGCCCATCCTCACGGCCAAGGACATGGCCAACCCGGAAGTGGAGCATCTGGGCATTATGGCCTACGCTGCGCATCTGCAGTGGGTTCCACCGCGCCCTCCGCTGTCCGACCTGGTCAACGTTTATCTGGAGAGCACGTCCGGTCGAGTGGGTGAACCGGTGAGTACAACATATTTCGTTACAGTCGCGGTCGAAATAAGATCATACTTTGAATGTGCCATAATCAAATGGTTTAGTTTTATTTATATCTAGTAAACCAATCTAATGGTGACTGTATGTTATTATATTACACAAAGATGGATGTTCTGATTATAATTATGTCATACCTAATATTTTGACCACTGCTGTAGTAATACTCTGGGTGCAAATTGCAATACATTAATGTTTAATGTTCCATTCACACGCAGACGCATTTCCGCATCGATGTGTTGTCTCGGGATATAAGCCTCAGCTCGGTTCGCTGTCACGTGGTTCCACCTTCCGGTCAACCAGGACAACCTGTGCGACTGAATGCCCACGGCGAGGGAGTATTCGTGCCGGAGCGCTATGGCATGCACGAGATTGTGGTGGAGATCGGAGAAGATAGCCTGGGCGGGCACTTCTTCCGCGTTCTGCCTCGTTTGCTACAGGTGGCTCCTCCGGGAATGGCGCCCTGTGCCTTGGGCAGTCTCGTCGAGGTGCTGGTTAATGCCACGGGAGCGCCAAAGACGGAGGATATCCTGGTCACAGCAGTCTCTCCATCGGGCATCTCCCACAACTGTCCACTGAAGAAGATAGACGAGGGACACAGTGCCATATTCAAGCCGGACGAGGCGGGCATTTGGGAGATTGCCATCACCTACCAGGGCCGTCATATCCAAGGTGGACCCTTCACCTGTGCCGTTTTTGATGCCTCCGGGGTATCGGTCCATGGATTGGATGGAGCCATGCCGTTGAGGGCACACACCTTTGAGGTAGATGCTCGCGGAGTGGGAGTTTCTGGAGAGCTGCACGTGGATATCGTCCACGACAAGCATTCGTTGGTGTGCTCAGTGGAGAAGATCGTGGAGAATAAATACCGAGTGACCTTTATGCCCAGGCAGAATGGAAAGTACCGTGTCTACATTTACTTTAATGGCTACGATGTTAAGGGTTCCCCGTTTATGTGAGTGAAAAATAACATATGCCAATGAAATATTTTACTATGTATATATATCTACTACAGAATGCGAGTGGGTACTAAGGGAAGATCTGGAAAGACGCGCAGCAGCCCGCTGCATGACAGCAAGCACCGCTCGGAGAGTCCATCGATGCATTTTATATCCACCACGAATACCCGGCACAATGATTACCGAAACTCCTCCCTATCGAGGCACAATACTGCGGAAAGAAACAACAGCTACTCCCCGCAATACTCGCCCAAGTTGGATACCACAGATTACCACACTTCCAGTTCAAGGTATTATAAGCGGGAGAGCGAGGTAAGTAGATTTCAAAGGGGCTATGGCATGCGACATACGGCATATGGGTTTTAATTCACCTCCAACTATCCCATCAAAATTGAATGTTTTGGCTAACACACACCACACAAACCCACCTTCATCCTTGGTCCCGACCCCAAACACACACTGAAAACTACCTTCGACAGGAGAACCACACCTCCCCGCCGCCACAACCACCACCAGTTATTGGTTCACCAAGTATCAAGTATCTGAACTCTGCTGATCTTTACACTGAGACCTTGAACGGGGCACGCCGTGATTCAAAGACCTCCAATAGCAGCTCCACGAAAAACGATTACTACTACGACAAGGAAAATGAACTATACAGTCAACGGCGTGGGGTGACAAAGCCCAAGTTGACGCCACCGCGCGAGGAGCGCGAACTGACCAGCACAACCAATACCAGCAGCAGCTTCCAACAGCAACGACATCAGCAGCTGGCCACCAGCACCCTGACCAGATCGCTTAGTCCAATACCTAGTCCCACACTCAATGTAACTAAATTTTGTTTGTTTCGATATGCTATCCCAAAAAAAAAGATAATTATCCGAAAACCCGAGATTAACTCTTGCCTGCTTTGTGTGAATAACTTGTAGGAATTCTATACTAATCTCAGTATTTTACTCTCCACAGACCCGATCTAGCGAGCTGCACACGCACAGTCCGCTGACCATCAAGACGTCCAACCAATACGAAAGCTCTACGCGTAATGTAACCAGCAGTCCACGCCATGCCTCTGTTTCGCCCGTCCAGCGTTACTCCCCCAACGCCTATATTACCACTGCCACCCACCGTATGGGCAGTCCGGTGACCAATACTCTGAACAAGGTATAGTGTGGGATGCTTAGCAAAAATATATTCTTGAAACTTATGTTCAAATGTTCCTTTTCAGAATGGCTACGAGTCGCGAACGGTGGAGAAGTCGTCAACCTACAAGTCAACATCGAACTATGTCACAGACTCGAATATGCGCTCCAGTCCCTCGCTGTACGGCACTGCCGAGCGGCTGCGTCGGACTGGATCTCCGGAGCCGCGGATCGACCATTCCTCAAATGTGAGGGTGTCCTCGATGAAACCGGCGTCGGCCAGGCGCGACAGTTGGGATGTCATCAATAAGACAAAGCATATGCTCTCGCACAATTCGCTCGAATCGCTGGCGAACATGACCGAGACGCAGCTGAACACGGAACTGCAGTACAATCGTCCGGATTTGGACCACGAGACGCACCGGAATACGCAGTACAATAAGTTTGCCCTGCACAAACAACAGCAGCAGCAGCAGCTGTCGGACTATCGTCGGGATTCGCCTGATGATGGCGGAGAGCGTTACAAGTAAGAGTCTGTGATATTTTGACCTAAATGTTGTAAATTAATCATTTGATACGATTTGTTTTCTAAGTAAGAAGAACGAGGACTAATTTTCACCCTTTTTTCAGACCCAGTGCCATTACAGTCAAGTCACATTCGAACAATACATATACGGACAAATCCGGTGGCTATACAAAAACCGTGAAGGAGTCCAGCGAACATGTGGTTACCGAGAGCAATGGCCATGGAGTTTCTCCTGGTTATGGCTACAGTTCGTTGTCTAGATTTCGTCCCATAGACAGCAATGCCACTGGTGCTAGGGCCATACGGGTGCAGGATATACCGAATGGCTCCATTGGGCGTCCAGTCGAGTTCGAGATCGATGGCTCGAAAGCGGGCTCCGGCAATCTGGAGATCCTGGTTAACGGCGGGCGTGTCACCTCCTCGGTCCGCTCGCTGGGAGGCCAGAGGTTCATAGCCAGCTTTACGCCGCACGAACATGGAACGCACACAGTGCAGATCACCTTCAATGGCGAAACCGTTCCAGGTAAGCTTCGAGCTGAATAACTCTCATAGATGTGGGTGGATTAAGCTGTTCAGTTGCCTATAAAGGCAGCACACTTGGAACTACATATTTTGGTGATGATCTTAGACAAAAAAAACCTTACTGGTTTTGCTATTGTCATTCTATTGAGGGGCTGTATACATAGATCCGAGCTACGTTTGCTATGCAGTGATCTAGTGATTATAATAATAATTTTCTGGGCTTTAAATAGACACCCTATCTTTATTCCTAATTCGTAATGATTTTCGCTTTCCATTTTTAACATTTTGTATACGAATAATTCTTGTGTTAAGCTTAAAAGGCTATGTTGCTTCTAGTTTATAAACACATCAGCCACTGTGCGGCGAATTCGTTGCTCTCTGGAGCACCATGTGAGTGGCTCTCAGGCTTGAAGCTCTCCAAGTTTTTTTACTCTCACTGCTCTCACCTGTGCTCACCTGCCTTGATCTCTCTGTGGCTTACGCTCCGATACGCTCTGAGTTCGCTTGTACCTGCTGGACGGGTTTTTGGGTTGCTACCGCTCCCATCGAGAGTCGCGTTGGCAGACGAAGATCGCGCTTCAAACGAAACTGACACGTCGGCGGCATCGCAATTAACGGTCGATCGCAAAAAGCCAGGAAAATTGGCAAGAAACGCACTGAAATTGTGATTGTGGCTCTTGAGAGAGTAAAAATAATCAGATAAAAGTGAAGAATTGTTTGTTAAAATACGAGACAAGAAGCCCCCAAGGCATAAACAAAACAACAGTTGGCATAGCCAAAGAACGAAGCACTTTATGTTCCCGGAATGTGAAGCGAATCGAAAAGATTTCGTGTGTGAGATTTCTAAGCCAAAGAAATATGCTAATATTTTCGCCCCTCCACTCTCTGTTTTTTTTTTCCTTTTCTACTTTTTCGGGGTCTGCTGTGCGAACGAAAACCAGTTTAATGAACCTTTAAGCTGGAAATATTTCAGCTCGTCGTAGCTCTCAAGCGCTGCATTGCTGTATCGCTGTGTCTTGGCCGAATCAATAATGCTAGGAAAACTGTCTCCGCATTGCAATTTTATTTACAATTGCCAGTGACAAAGGGGGCAGCCATCTTGGTTCGCTCTTGGCCAACTGCAACTGCAGCAGCTCCGGCTACAACTCCAGCTCTTGGCCGAGCCAAAGGCGCAGCCACAGATACAGAGGGAAACAGGCACTGGCATGGCATGCAATTGTATGTGGTTCAAGGCGCACTTGTTGCATGCCTTTGCCATTGTGTGTATATATGTATGTATGTATCTCTTGGTGCGGCACAGGCCAGGCGGAAATCAAAGTCGAGAAAAACAAGGCGATTTCCCCGTACCCGCATACCTTTATCATCAGGGGCCTTGTGCTCCTGCTGCTGCAGCCCAAAACCCGTTGGGATAGGTTGTCAGTCAGGTATGCGGCGCATCAGAGGGCGCACCAGGTATGCGGTCGATCTCTGGCGGAGATTGCGATTTCTTGGCCACGTCGGCCAGTTTGCCGCTGCTTTACCACTTTCCACCGATTTACACTCACGAAATATGCTTAAAGTTTAGCCATCGTGTGAGTAAACATTTCGATTTCGTTTGGCTCCGTTTCGTTTCTTTTTTGTTTAACAATGAACGAAGCTGAGTGGAGTGGCCACACCTCTCACTCCGACTGAGCCCGATTTTACCCTCCTTTGGCTGCTTTTACCCGCCGCTTTTTGGCCATTTCCGCTCTCAGCATATTGGCACATATTCCCACTTCCAGCGCTGTTCGGCTGTTTGGGATTTTTATGAGCCACCGTCATTCAAAGTGAAACTGGCTGCCAGTCCCGTCGTCTGTCTGAGCTGTGCATAATTTAATAACGAAAATTGTCGAAAAGCAGCAACGGCTGTGGAGGCATTAACTGTTTTTTTTTTTTGACGCGCCTCCAGACCCCCTCCCATGTAACCCCAACTCCAACCCCAAACCCCAGAGAGCCGGAGTTCAAATCGAGCGATAAATACATGCATATTTAAAACAAAACGTATTAAAGAAACGTATAAAAAGACTAAAGTGTCGTCGCGCCGGTCGTGGAAAAACGCGATTAAAACGTGCGCCAAATCGTGGTCGTGCCGCGATGTCATTTTGTGCAACGCTCGGCGGATTCTTTTAAGCGTTTTCGCTAAATCGTCTTGTTGTCTTGTTGAAATTCAGATTGCAGAGCGCACTCGAAGCATAAATGCTTCGCAGCTTACACACATAAATAAATCATTTACAACTCGCTGACATAATCGCTACACGAAATAGTTTTCACCTCTTTCAAGTTCAGACGTGCCGCCAGCGATTGTGATTTGATTCAACAAAAGAATAAGGTCCACTCCACACGCGTTTTCAGCCACCGATATCGATCCCGCATCTGATTCCACTCACACTTCATCCCGCCGCCAGCAATCTAGCATTGTCAACAGCAGCAGCAGCCTCCAGTCTCCAGCCACAAAACGTAAATCTCATTCTTTTGTAACATTCCAAAAAAATAGTTCGGTGTAACGGTCAGGTTCAGGCTCGGATTCAGAATCCGAATCCGAATTAGAATCAGACCTCTGCGACAGCTGCAGGCCATCTAACGGGCTTCTGCGGACAGTCACGTAACCGCAGGCGAACAAAAACACACCGGTGATTGCACTGAGAGGAAAAACGTACACTAATTTATAGAGAGAAAGATCCTGCGTTGGGATGTACTTTTGTTTAACATTATTTTTGTGGACTTTCGTTAAATTGTTTCAACAATTTATACCTTGAAATGTGGTTCTACAATCTTCTATATATAATTTTCAACTAGATCTTTATCTTTTCCTTACTGGTGTAGGAACAAGATCAAACCTGGTACAATGTCATGTATTATTCATTCTTAATTACGATCACAATTGTTCTATAAAAACTCATATGAATATTGCTTAGTAAAAACTACTGATTTGTTAGAGTAAAAGTTATTTTTGTATCAGGAATTTATACTCTTCCCATACCAGAAATCGTACTTATTCAGTCTTCTATTTTTCCCGCAGTGTTTGTCTATAATAAATGCCTATGCAGATTGAATAACAGCGTTAGATGCTTACTGCACTTGTTCTCCGACCGGCAGGCAACAACTCAGCGCTGCGATTAGCACTCCTCCAGCTGGGAAACCGGCCAGAAGAGCGGCAAAAAGTCAGCTTAGCTTTTTCGTTTAGACGAAGTGCAGTTGCTCTGCCTCACTCTTCACTAAACTTGCAACATCAGCTTGCCTTGCAGCGACAGCGAGCGGCACATATGCAACATAGTCTCTGCGGGAAAGAAGTCTATGTCTGTTGAGTCTGAGCCATGGACCGACAAACTTTAACTGGGTATTGCGTTGGATTCTTTAGAGCGTCGGTCGCCTAACAGTAACTTTTTGCATAGCCGCTAGGCATGAGCAGAGTTATGAGAATGCGATAACTGATTAATGATGGCCCCAATTGGCCGAGCACCGAAAACAAACAGACAGAAACAGTTAGCAGCAACTGTAGTCCAAGTTCGAAGTGCTAAAAGCAAACAGAAGATGGCAAAGGGTGACACTTCCAAGCGAGAGATTTTCGGTTTCCATGGCCTCTGCTTTGGGGGGATAAAAGGGAGAAGTTTTTCCCAGGGACAAGACAAAACGAACGTTAAACTATTCAGCGGCAAGGGAAAATACCAGTAGTAGACGAAGCGAGTTTTGAGCTATGACAAAGCGCCACAGCTTGATTTTTTTCCATCGAACTGGCAACTGACCGTTGCAGCAGAAATTTTCATGGAAAGCCATAAAAGCGGCAGCACAGCAATACTATACAGCAACGCGGCAATACAGCAGCAACTGCAAACGAGCACTAAAAGGAAAAGTGCAACAATCGCAAAAAGAGAAATGCATGGAAAGTTGCAAACAAAAGTAAATTTGAGCGCCAGACAACAAACACCAGCAAAGACCCAACCGTGTCCAATAAAAATGCTGCGAGAGATGTGAGATGCGAGTGCCAACAAATAAGCGAACGTTTAACGAGCCAATTGCCAATAGTGCCCCGCCATCGCAAATTGGCAGCCGCATTGCTCCAAGCCACTCGATTTCGCGGCGGCTCCTCCAACAGTTTAATGATGCTTTCGGGTTCGTTTCGAAACATTCCTGAACTAACTCGGGCGAATTATGTCGCTCTTGTCTAGAGTCTCCACCATTCGCAATGTAGGCGCTGCCACAGATACACCGATAGAGGCAGGCCACCAGATACGCAGTTTTAGATACAGATACCTACACAGCAACAGCTAGAGATACAGATACGCACTTGTCGCTGGCAACGAGGCGGCACAGATGGAGATTGCGACAATTATAATGAGAAGCAGCAAGAGACAATGCAAAGTCGCAGCGGAAACCTCGCCGCTGTGCCGCCGCCTGAAGAATGCGAGGCTTGGTTGAGAAGTTTTGATTGAGCAATCTATTGGCCATCTTTCGTGACTATATCCATTTGTTAGTTGATATTTGCCTAATATAATATTAATATAATCAAGCCATTAAGTATAAAGAGCCAACTTAGCAGTAATCAGATCAAGACCACAATGGAACAAGCTCACGTAAAATTTATCTAAATAATATCACAAGAGCTCAGCTCTGTGTGTGCGCAGTAATCTTGTGTTTAAATCTAAATGATGATGGAGAAAGTAGGTGAAAGATGTGTGTTTCAACACAAGAAATCTTTGACCCACCCTCTGGCAGCACACACTGTGGCATCCATCTCAATTACCTGAGCTGCAGGTGCATGTGATGGCTTTGTGGGTCAAATATCGTTACTTGCGCTTGCCGTCGCTCGTTCAGATTAGCTCTTTAAGTTGACAACTTGCAAGCAATCCAAGCCATTGTTACTCATTAGAAACTAATGTGTCTTTGTCTTTCTCTCCATTTCCATTGCAGGTTCACCGTGGCACGCTGAGATCATGTCCTCACCCGGCCTAACCGCTCTGGGCGAATCCACTCGCCTGGTACCCGCCAATACACCGGCGGTTTTTGAGATACTGCCGCCTCCTGGACAAAGCCTAAGTAAGGGCGAGTGCGTGGCCACGGTTCTGACTCCCAACAAGTCAAAACTCAACGCCAGAGTCACCCATGAGGCGGCAAATGGTGCTGCTCGCATCGAGTTCGTGCCCACCGAAGTGGGCACCCACGTCATCGATGCGTCCATTAACGGCACGAAGATCGCTGGCGGCCCGCTGATCGCCAAGGTCTACGACTCCAGCCTGATCCAGGTGACGGAGGTAAATGGCGGCGTGGTCGGCCAGCCGTGCCAGTTCCGCGTCGATGCCAGCGCTGCTGGCGAAGGCCAACTGGAGATATCCATCAACGAGGGCGAGGTGCCCAATCATGTCCAGGTGGTGGGCGGTGGCCGCTGCCTCGTCTCCTTTACACCGGAGCAGGCCAAATCGCATCTTATAGATATCAAGTTCAATGGCGAAACGGTGCGCGGCTGTCCCTTTGTCTGCGCCGTGGCAGATACCTCTCGTGTGCTCCTGAATCTCTCCAATCTGGAGTTGATTCCGGTCAACAGGCCCTCCTCCTTTCACATCACCGTGAGCGGAGGCGGTGCCGCCGAGCTGGCTGTCAGTGTCCGCGGTCCACAAGGGGAGTTGCCCGTTCGAGTCACTGGAGATATCCACGCTGGCTTCACCGCCGAATTCACGCCCACGAATGTTGGCGGCCACTCGATTAATGTGGAGTACAATGGCTTTGCCGTCCAGGGCACCCCCTTCTTGGCCAAGTCCTATGACGCCAGCAAAGTGGTGGTGGGCAGCGTGTCGCGCGGCACTATGGACGGCCGGTGCAGTTCACGGTGGATGCGGGTGATGCCGGTGAGGGCAACTTGGAAATAACGATTTCGGCGAAGGGACAGAACATTCCCACACAGGTGCATCCGCAAGGCAGTGCGAGGTGAGCTGATAATTTAGTTGCACAGACCTTCCTCTCTCTATATATCTCCCTTCAAATATTTTGGAGCGGAGTTGTTTTGTTATTAAAAAACTTTTTTAATTGAAATGTTTGCTCAATTTATTTTTCCGCTCGAAAGACTTGATTGAATGCATGTTTTCGTGCAAACATTTTTAATATCTACCAAAATCCATTTAAATTCAATTTGTTTCTTTAATGTAATGCAAGTAAAATCAATATATCAACTTTATTGTTTGCTGTTTAGCAAGAGAAAGCTAATAATTTCGGTTTATATTTAGAAAATAAATGTCCTTTACTAGGATTTAAGTATTTTATTTTACTAATAACTTATTCGCTATTTTTCTTACAGATTCTCCGTTTCGTTTGTGCCCACGGAGTCATGCGAGCACACGATCAACGTATCCTTCAACAAAATGCCCGTGCCCGGCTGTCCGATAACGGTCAGCATCAGTGGCGGCGTGGCCGGACCACAGGTGTCGCTCGGCGGACCAGGACCTGTGCATCAGACCAATTCTTTTGTAATCAATCACAACGGCGGCCGTCTGGAGGATATCGAGGTGAACGTGGAAGGTATGTAGGCGGCCAGTTGGGCTGCTAGGGCAGTCATGCATCCACTCCTCCAGCTCCTGCTAACCCACACCAGTCATCATCAGTTTTGTGTGTGGTGCAATTTGCCACCCCCTCATTGCCTCTATTTGTGTTTTGTGCATTGGTTTTTAGTATTAAGGCTCGTAATTTAATTGCTCGTTTTGCTAAATGTTTGTGTCTGCCAAGCGTATTATTCGATTGGATCCATTTGCATACATATCCCCCAATCCCCGCCCTCCCCGTAGCTGGTAGCAGTAACTGTATCGGTATCTGTATCTGTAATTCGTATCTGCAACTCGTATCAGTATCCGCATCGCACACACTATCTCTCTCACATTTCACGCACTCAGACTTGTACAGCAAAATTTGTACGAGCGGAAATCGTTGAGGAAACTTCCAAGCATGCCACACCTCCCACTTCCCACTGCCATCCACCTCCTCACCCCACCAGGGCCCCCACTAGTAGTGGTTGATATGTATGTCTCAGGCTGAATCCAAAGACAAGGTGCTGCACTTACAAGAGTGGATTTATGAGATGCGCAGTCCCCCGTAGATGTTGTGCGTGTGTTGGTGTAATTATGCTGCACATATATCATTGCTTATACAGTCGAACTTCGTTAGCAAGGAACGCAGGTCTTGAAAAGAACTCCAAGTTGTAGAAAAACAAAGTTTAGTTAAAGTGACTTGGCTAAGATTTGTTAACTTGATGAGTTTCTCATGTACCCTTGGGAATTCCACAAGGTAGAAGTATTATTTCATTGTTCAATAAGCTTTTTAATTAAACTCTATTCAAGTTAACCGAAGGAAGTCTGGTTAGCGTAGTTCGACTGTTTGTAATTTAAGAAATCCAGGTCCGTCCGACGCTTTTGTTTGGTGGGTACCTCCAGGAATAGCCCAATGTATGCAAATATGCCGGAATGTGTAATCCTCACACAATTCCATTGAAACCATTTAGTTGCTGTTACTCCATGTAGTTCGACTCCGTACTTCCTGTGTGTGTTTTGTGTGCATTTAATGATTGTTGCTGTATTTGCTCTCATTGTTTTGTAATGATATGATGTGTCCTTTTTGTAATAATGTTGCTCACTTTTGTATCTGTATTATATATTTCAGGACGGCGAAATCTTTTGTACTAGACTATATCTATATATATATGAATATATATGCATATACTTACTTATATATATATTACCTATACTATTAAATGCGGGAGCAGTCTCCGCGCTCTCCCCTATACATATTACATATATATATATACTATTCACCAGGTGTATATATACTTTGCTAACAGTCCGAACCACAAGATAATAACCCAGAGAACTGTCTCCCCCTCTCTCTCCGATGAGGGAAGATCTAAGCCAATACCATAACAAAATGAAGTATTTACTAATGTCCGATTGTTTACTAATTTGTTTCTTACTGATTAATGTGTAGAATTACTCGAATAAAAAAATAAAAACAACAAAATACATATAATGTAGGTTGAATATTATATCCAGCAGGATCTTGCGTAGGGTTATTTGGGAGTACTCGTATTTATTCTGTACTGTCTATGACCTGACCCCCTGCTCCATGCTCCGTTTACTAACCGTTTCTGGCACACTTAATTCAATATTTAACACAGATTAACCGCACTTCTCCAAGTAAATGACCTCATCTAACCCCAAGACCCTCAACACATTCAGAGTTTTCTCAGTTAATATACCCATTACTAATCGAGTGAACATTTTTCCAAATTTTTTCGCTTCATTCGCGACTGAACACAAACACTAACCCCCCTCAACTCAACTCAACACAATACATCTGACCCAACTGAAACCGATACCGTTGCCCAATTATCGAATCGAATTTCAACAAAACAAACAAACGAAATCAATCTCAAACTCGTTTCCGGCCGCGTCGCAACTGAAAATCCAAATCATAATTAAAAACAAATCAAACACAATAATTAATCAATACTAAAATCGAATACGAATGCAAAATGTAAAACAAACATCGACAACAAATGCAAATCGCTGGCCCAATCAGGACCTGCTGGCCAGTCGGTTCCTGCACAAGTACATCAATCCGCTGATGGCGTCTTCAAGGCGGAGTTCGTGCCCAGAGTCGTCGGCGAGCATCGCGTTAATGTCACGGTCAATGGACTGGCCACCGCTGGGAGTCCATATGCAGCCAAGGTGAGTGCATGGGTGAGAGATCCAAAGGTTGAATCTTATTTATATTTTATTTTTTATAGGTCTACGATGTCAGCGCCATCAAGGTGAAGAATGTGAGCAGCGGAACTGTGGGCAAGCCGGTCACCTTCCTGGTTGAGACCTCCCAGGCTGGACCCGGTAATCTAGAGGTGACTGTAAATGGCGGCAGGGTTCCCACATCAGCCCAGGCCCAAGGACAGCACACCTATGCCATCAGCTTCACTCCCCGCGAGGCTGAGAGTCACACCGTGGAGCTGCGATTTAATAGCCAGGATGTACCTGGTTCGCCCTTCACCTGTCGCGTAGCAGCCGCCGCTCGTATCCAATCCCCGGAGACAATGGACAAGGTCAGCGTGGGCAGACTATTTGAATTCGTGGTGGAGTCAGACACGAAGCCAACAGTGGAAGTACTCGGATCTGCCAGGCGGAGTGTGCCGGTAAAGATTGATCCACTGGGCTCTTCTACACTTGGCTACAACGTCAAGTTCGAGCCCATGGAGGTTGGAGATCATTCGGTGGAGGTTCGCCTTCCAGGCGGTGGCCATGTAGAGGGCAGCCCATTCCTGCTGAAAGCCTACTCCGCTGAGAAAGTCATAGTCACCGATATCCGAGCCGGAGTGGTTAATAAGAGTATGAGCTTTGGAATAAATGCCTCGCAGGCGGGAGCTGGTAACTTAGAAATCATTGTGGCCGTCAATGGCAAGAATGTGCCCAACTTTGTCCAATCCGAGGGGAATGCCCGGTTTAAGGTGAACTTCAAGCCGACGGAGGCAGCCACCCACTCGCTGTCTGTACGTTTCAATGGACATCCAGTGCCGGGTTCACCTTTCAGCTGTCACATAGCCGCTGCAGCTGCTTCTCCTTCGATGGGCTTGCCCCGAGCCATGGCCATGGGTGAGTGCCTCAAGCAGGCAGCCGTCAAGATGGACAACACCTTCGAGCTTGAAGGCTTCGAGGGCATTGAACCGCAGATCTTTGTGACCTCGCCGTCGGGAGACAACGAGCATTGCCAGTTGAGTCAGCACGACGGAGGCAGCTACTCTGCCTCGTTCAGACCCACCACTGTGGGTCGTCACCTGATCAGTGTGACGGCTAACGATCAGCACATCAATGGATCCCCCTTCAGCTGCAACGTCTTCGATGTATCCAGGGTCAGCATCAGTGGATTGGAGCAACAGTATGGACCGGCCAATCTGGGAGTGCCAGTAACTTTCAGTGTGGATGCGGCAGGAGCTGGAGAAGGAACCCTAGAGCTGGTGGTCTCCACAGACAGTAGCACCGTCAAGGCGGAAGTGGTGGCCTGCGCCCGGGGACTATATGACGTAACCTTTGTGCCCCAGAGCACGGAACCGCATTACGTGAACATCACCTTCAATGAGGTGGCCGTGGACGGTAGCCCCTTCCGTGTGGACATTCAGCAGCACACGCAGCACATACAGATTGGCAGCTTGGCGGCCATCGACTTTCCAGCGGATGACCAGATCGTGGAGATCTTCTCGCCGGATCAGAAGTCCGTTCCATACTCGATCAATAGGCAGACGGCCGAGTTCCGTACGCACATGACCGGAAACTATACACTGCGCTTTATAGACCGCGAGACGAGACAACATATTGGCTCTCGCACGTTGTGCGTCTTCGACCCCACTCTGGTGAAGATTACCGAGGTGAGTGAGGCGTTCTGTCATCGTCCGGCCAGCATTGGAGTCTCCTTGAATGAAGCCGGCCAGGGGGATCTCTCGGCTCTGGTTCGCTGTGGCGCTACTGAGGTGCCACACACTATCCGAGGCCCAAGCAAGACCGGAGTGTATGAGATCGTTTACCAGCCCACTCGAGTGGCTCCCCACAAGATCAGCATCCTATTCAACGACGTGCCCATTTCCCTGAAGCCTCTGGAGATCAATGTTCTTCCCGCTAGTGCTGGCAAGGAGATCAGCGTCAGTGGATTGGGATTGTATCAGTCTCGCGTGGGCAAAACCACTTCGTTTGCCATCGATACGGTCAAGAGGCCAGCTAGGGAATTCGATGTGGTGGTTTCCGGCCCAGGAGGACAGGCCCTACCGGTGAGGTGCTATCAGACCAAGAACGGCCACTTGCAGGCCGAGTTCACCATCAACAAACCGGGACAGTGTGTCATTGGTGAGTATTCCATAAAATGCCAAGTATCTTATAATAACTCTACTCTTTCCTACAGAGGTGCTGCATCAATCGAAACCACTGCCTGGCAGTCCCTTCACCTGCGAGTCCTTCGACAGTAGCAAGGTCACCACGCAGGGTGTGTCCAAGGAGCCACTGGCTCTGCACAGTCCCAACAGCTTTACCGTACGCACAGATAATGCCGGAACCGCCGAACTGGAGGCTTTTGCCATCTCACCCAGCAACCAAAGCCTGCCTGTACTGATAAGCGAACAGTCGGAGGGAGTCTACAATGTGGAGTTTATACCCTCGCAGCCGGGCAACTACAAGCTGACGTTAATGTACGGCGGAGAAACGATTCCCAGCTCTCCGCTGAACTTTACAGCCTCCGCCAGCGGAGTGAGAAACGATGCTCGGGCAGCTGGCCATGGACTGGAAGTGTGTCATCGCAACAAGGAGGCCTCCTTCGTTGTCTACTGTCCCATCGCCCCAAATGTTCAGATCGAACGACTGGATGAATATGGCGAGCGGATAGAACCCAAGATTAAGGCTCTGGGCAATAATGAGTGGCGCATCTCTTACACCATCCTATCCGTGGGCAAATACGAGATCCGTGCGAGTTGTCCGAATCGTGGTAGCTTGCCGGGATCGCCCTGGCACATCAGCTGCGTGGAGTCCAACAAGGTCACACCTGTGGGTGGCTGGGGTACTTTGGTCGATCACGATGGCCGACTCATTCTTCCAGCTCGTATCATCTTCGAGGTGGAAAATGCCGGACCTGGCAAGCTGGTGTGCAGCATCGATGGCATAGAAATACCGGTGGATAAGCTGGCGGATGGTAAGATGTGCCTGAACATTACCGGCGAAAATCTGGCTGCCGGTGAGCATGATTTGGATCTAACCTGGAGCGGCTTGACCATCACCCAGTGCCCAAGAAGTGCTTTTGTGACCGGCCAACAAGCTGCGGATAAGGTTCAACTAATGGGTCGCGGATTGGCTGCCGCTCAGGCAGGAGAGGCGGCGCATTTCACAATTGATGCTTCAAATGCCCCGGCAGGCAGGCCAGATGTCATTCTCACCAGTCAGGACAATACATCGCTGCCGGTGAGCCTGGCACAGCCTCGACCAAGTGAAAACATTTGGCTGGCCTCGTACACACCGCAGAAATCGACAACGGGCACATTGAATCTCTCCGTGAAGTGGAACGGCAGACTGGTCAAGGGATGTCCGCTAACCGTAGCTGTGGGCTCCTCGATGGATGCCTCAAAGGTGATTGCCTCCGGAGAGGGACTGCGTCATGGGATTGTGGGCAAGGATATCAAGTCATGGATAGACACAAGGAGAGCCGGACCTGGCGAACTTACTGCCCACTGTGCTGGCGTTCGAAAGGTTGCCTATTGCGAGCTGTACGATCACGGCGATGCCACTTTCACGCTGAACATCAAGCCCCAGGAGCCGGGAAGGCATCTGTTGACAATCAAATACGGAGGACAAAATGTCCCCGGATCGCCATTTGCACTTAAGGTGGCCGGTGCTCCCGACGCCAGCAAGGTATGTTTTTGGAATTATGAATTTAAAATTCTGAATTTTTATGTTAATGATTTTTATCTTGAAAAGGTTCGCGTTTATGGACCTGGCATAGAGCATGGTGTGCTGGCCACCTTCCAGTCGCGATTTATCTGCGACACTCGAGGTGCTGGCGCTGGTCAGCTCACTGTGCGTGTCCGAGGACCCAAGGGTGCCTTCCGCGTGGAGATGCAGCGGGAGAGCCAAAAGGATCGCACCATACTGTGCAAGGTAACATTACAGATTAACATCGAATTTTGACAAATTTCCAACTAAAACCTCTTTAATTATTTAGTATGATCCAACCGAGCCCGGCGACTATCGTGTGGAAGTCAAGTGGGCGGGCGAATTCGTGCCAGGATCACCGTTCCCCGTCATGATCTTCGACACTGAGGAGGAGTTACGAAGGTATTTGCAGGGCATATGAGGCCAGCTCAACCACCATGTCATCGTCTTCCCCAGTGGCCTCAGCCCATTGCCCATTGCCCGTGATCAAGTGCGCCGCAAGGCATCGACCTGTACTCCACTGTAGCTGATCCAAGTCCACCCCTTTGTAGTATATTTAAATAAGCTAACAATGATACCTAAAGAGTTATATATGTTATACTAATCGAAGCTAGCTAACTGGAAAACAGTACGAATCGAATAACGAAATCATATCTAGGTTAATCCCAAAAGGATACATTAATATAGATTAAATAATAACATGTTGAGCAGTGTATAAACTTGCAATGAATTAATTGGTTTAGTTATTTCGCCTTGTATGCAATACAAACACTTAAATACATAGCAGCGTTAAACATAATTCCATTTATTTAATTTGGTAGAAAACAAAGTAGGAATAGGGTGACATATCTCTGTAAAATATCCGAAAGATTTAATTCAAGTAGAGTGCGGAAAAATTAATCTTGAAATTGTGACTACACTAAGCACTCGAATCTACTCCACTACTCTACTAAATAATTCAAAAGTTTTGTCAGCATCCAAATCTTCGGGAAGTGCAAATTGATTGTTAAAGTCTTGGCGATAGGTTCGAACAAATCAATCACATTTTCCTCTAGCTTCTTCCGTTGCACCATCTCGACACTGCTCCTAGGTTCCGCATTCTTGTGGCTCATCAGTAGCATGGACAGCAGGACTCTGCGATTTTTTAGCTGCAGATCCTCGAATCTTTCGTGCATTATCAGCTCCGTCCATGGTTGTTGGAAGAAAACAAGGAAGTTGGTAATCCAGCCGGACTTAAAGCGATTCCGAACGTCATTCAGAAGTTTGGCATGCTTGCCGCAAAAGTATTCCAAGAAGTAAAGTCTCTTCTCCTGAAATAGATCGGTAAAAGCAATTGGCAAATATTTACTGAGATTTGAGATTTTCAAACCTTCTTAGTGACGCACACAATCTCCGTGACAATCATCTTTAAGTTGAGTCGAATGCGCACAAAATCTCCATCATCGTAGGTAGTCATATTTTCGGTAAAATCCACCGGAAGCTGGCCAATGAGTAGCGGTTTGGGTTGAATGATCTTGATGATGTGATAACCATTGGGCAGCATGCCGGAGAACAGGAAGGGTCTTATAAATCGCTGCTGCATCGCTATCTTCAGCATTCCCAGCTCAAAGGCCAACTGGAAATGAAATTTCATAGAGTTCTAATTCAAATGTTCAATCCTCTAAGGAACACTTACCTTCTCGGCGCTCTCCTGTGGATTGGTATGGATAAACTGATAGTTGGGCAAGGGTCTAATGCTTATATTTTTGCCCGCTGCATAGATGTTGGGATCAGACGTACAGAAACGTGTATTGACCACAATATTCCTGTCCGCCATTTCAATGTCCGCATCGTCAAGAACTGCGAGGGAGTAAAGTAAATATCAGTTGGCCTCATGCATTTTATCCGAGTATTTCCCACTCACGTCTCTCCAAGGCCGAGGACATGTTGTTAAAGTTATAATTGACGAAAAGAGTGCAGTCCAGAATAATTGCGTGTTTACGCGGAACCGTTTCAAACTCCACCCGTTGGATGGAGAAGTCACCCTCCTGAAAGTGGAATCTAGAGTAGTTCGTCGATAGGTAAATCGTAATACCCAGATCGCCGATCATATCCAGTATAATGGGATCCAGTGGGCCATCTGCCCAGGGATTACCCTGGTCTTCGGGCGCTGCCGGCAAGTGGGGCTGCACATATGTTATGTTCTTGGTCTGGCATCCGTGGGTCACCATAAAGTGTAGGCACTCATAGGTTGCTATCCCATAGCCGTACACGATGATGTTGTAGGGGCCACCCGATTGAACCATCTCCCGTATCTTGTGGTAAAAGATGATACGGTCCAGGCGATAATTGTTGACCACATAGTTGGGCGGTGGCTGACGACCCTCAAACACGCTATCCTCGAAGCCGAACTTCATGTCATCCAAAATGAGGAGTTTGTCGTAGTGAAGCCTACATCCGTCCACCAAATCTACAATTTGCTTTTGTCTGTCGGAGATTTCAGGATCACTGCCATCTGTTTCATCTTCGGTACTCACTCACCTATTAATCTTCTTCAGTGTTCCGGGAACGAAACGAACCCAGTGCCTCATGTCCATGCGCTGAGTGGAATCCCTGACATAGGGATGATCATTGCCGGTGTTCACATAACAGTTCCTACCATCGCCACAGTATTCGCACCGGAAGTCACAGTCGTAGGCTGCCTCCACAACTCCTTGGGGAACTACAATCGTCAGATCCATTAGAGGCAGGCAGTTGTACTTTTTGAACTTGTACAGACTGAATGAAAGTATTACGTTACGTTCTCGTTCATTAAAAAAGGTGTGTACTGTATGCTTCTCACTCGTTCGTGTTCCAGGCATAGATAATGATGCGGATGAAGGCACGAGAAATCTCCGAGAAACCCACAATCAACAGGGACTGCTCTGCCCCCAGGTGCTTGGTGGGCATCAGATTATAACAGAAGACACGGAGGCGACTGGTGGCCTTCTCCGCGCCATGCAGATTGACTACATCGGAGGAGCGCCTCTGAAAAAGGTCACTGCCGAAATAATTCTTTTTCATGCGTTTCGGCTCCAAGGGCATCATATTGTACGTGAGGTCATTGGGCAAAGAGATACCCTGAAAACAAAACGAAAGACTTTTTTAATTAATTTCCCTTTGTGGGCCCCAGTTAATCCGTCGCACATTAAAGTAATTGATGTAGTAGAGTTCCTGGTAATCATCGTACAGCGCCACCGTCCGAAAGATGTTACTGCTCCAGATGTGGAAGAAGGGATGCAGCTTAAACATGAGGACCTCTCCCCGGTTGTGGGTTAAATTGAACTGATCCCGGGGCAGCATAAATAGCCTGCACAGATCATCGAAGCCCAAAAAGCGTCTGCAGGACGGTCAAGAATCATTTGAGTTGATCGAAAAGTATCCAAACCTACCTCAATATAATGAATCCCACTATTGGACATTCTTTATGCCATTTCGATTGACCACAGCGAATGGTGAAACAGGTAAATTCACTGTCGATATTGTCACAAATATCATCGAAGATCTGGTTAAAAAGTTCCAGAACTTCATCAGTGTAGTTGTCCACACCGGGTGTATTCTCCCCAACATTAACAACGTTGGAGTACCTACTGGAGGATTGCGATGTGATGATCTTCTTGATTTCATTGCCCTCTTCCTTCTCCGTACGGAATACCCGGATTTCGCCAAACAAGGTGCTGCGATTGGCAACAAATACGTTCTCTTCGACCGTGCAATTCGGGCGAAAGTAAATGGGCTAAAATAGGGGAGTCAATAGATTATATCAATCTCCCAAGTTCTAATTGGACTCACCAGAAAGAACCGAAGTAATTCCCGTTGACAAGAAGTCATCATCACGGTGTTCTGCACCATTGTCACACAGTAATCGAGATCCGGAAAGGCCCCGAACATAGCTGACAGCGAAAAGAAGGTATATTCTGGTCGAACCAGGGAATGCAACTGATACATCTTGAGCAGGAAGGCATTGGATGCCTGGGCCAAGCACTGGTTCCTATTCTCGTTAGGAGAACTCTCTCCTTCTGGCAAGTCAAAGGATATTGTCAGAGTATCCTTGTAGGCATAGTAATAGTACCTTGCACTTCGAAGTTCTAAACATGGGACACAGTATTAATTTCATTAAATAAAGGTTTCCCTTTACTTACCATCGAAGATGTGTTTAAACTTGGCAAAGAGCAACTTCTTTGACGTAAGGTCTTTTTCATTTACATGCAGTCCAGAGCTGACCAGTTCAAGGAACATTTCGTTCATCGTTGATGTAGTATATAGGGTCTTCAATGATCTATGTTCCGCAGAACTGAACGACAGGAAAAATATAAAAATCTAGATTCCCATTTAATAAGAACAAACTCACACTACATCGTATTCGAAATGGCCATGCTTTAGACCCGGCGTATACTTGGCCAGGTTACCCAATCGCTCCAACTGAAAGTTCGTGGCCAGTCGCTCCACATCCACAGCGTCCGACAGCCACATCAGCCCAGCTCCCTTGACCCCTTGAGGGTTCTCTTCTTCAAACTGCGAGGCAGTTACGATTACGATTGAATGCGAATCCCAGATGCAACAAACCCACCTCTGCAATAATGATCTGTTCAGCGCCCTTGCCTTCCTCCTTTGATCCTTCTTCCTCCAGCAGATGTTCGGCAATGTAAAAATCTCCGTACTCTTTTCGAAGATGAGGGTCCTCGGTATCGATCATCTCCACAATGTCGTCGTTATCCTCCGGACTGTCATAAAACAAAGGATTAGTTTTGCATATAAACATAAAACTCTGAAATTAAAAACTAACAGAGCTTTGCGAAAAGTGAGTGCTGGCATGATGTCTCGCCGGTTGATTACGATGATCGAGGGAGCAGCAGCCATCTCAGCGACAGTCGTGTCCTTGGGAAAGTAGCATTTCCCAAACGCTTCGACTGCATCATATTGCGCAGATGAATTTCCCGGTGGCCTCACCACGATTATATAGTTAACCTTGTGCTCATTGTAGAAGATCTCCAGGATGATCATCTTGGTGATCGAGGTCTTGTTGTTTTTGCAGATAAAGAAGTTGAAGAATATCGTGTTAATCAGCGAGATGGAAAAGTCTAAGCTTTAGGGTAAGAAAGACAATTTGAAGCTATTCTAATCGTATAATACAGCGATTAAAACCTACCAGAAGCGAGTGTTGAGCCAGTGTAGCCACATATCGTTGGCCAGCACTGGGATATCTGGGTGATTACAGAACGTGCCGAAGGCCAAAAGTTTGTGAAACTCCTGATTGTCGTAGAGAAGTAGGCGGTACGCATGAATTTTGTAGAACAATAACTCAAGCGGTGGCGTTTCCTTAAACCCAAAGTACCATGTATCCTTAGCCATATATAGATCCTCCATACGCTTGACATCTTGAATTCCAGCTATATTAATAACAATGTTATCTACTATGGCTGCCATTTATTTAGTTTATTGTTTTGCATAAAAAATTAGAGCTGTGTTTTTAAGTTGAGATCACTACACATAAAAATCGGACGGTACAGAAACCGACTACTTTGGTTCTACAAATTAGTCCTCCTCAGACATATCCGGAGACTGGTTTTTATCTTCAATGCCCTGACTCCATGAATACGGGTCCATCGAAATGAAATCCTCGGGCAAAGCAAACTTGTGCTTAAAATCCGCCCGGTTATCCCTTAGGAAACTTAGCAGCTTCTGCTCCACGTAGCGCTTATTTAGCACATAGAAGTCGTGATCGGTTACATCTTGAAAGGGACCACGATTTACATTTTTCTATGGTTAGGATAATGGAATTAGTTAATTAAGGTAAAGGTCTATACATTTTTCTATGGTTAGGATAATGGAATTAGTTAATTAAGGTAAAGGTCTTGTATATCTTTATATAAACTCACACTTTGCGCTGCCACCGCCATCGTTTTCAGTATGCTTCTATTTTCCACCTGCAAGTCCTCAAAACCCTCGTGCATTATCAATTCAGTCCAACCCTGTTGAAACCACTTGAAAAAACAATGAATAGCATTGGCCTCAAAGCGAGCCTTTAGATTATTTAAAAGCAACTCGTGCTTGCCAACAAAGTGCTGCAGAAAGTCCATGTAACACTCCTGGAAACCAATAGAGGGGAGAATTTTGGTAAATGCTATCTAGAAGTAAAATACACACCCGTTTCGAGACGACCACAATCTCATCCACCACCATAGTCTGCGAAAGACCCACTCGACAGAAAGTGTGATCCTTGTATGTGGTCCTGTTCCAAGCGTAAGTTAAAGTCAGTTGGCTGGCAAGAAATCTACGCGGCAAGGTGATCTTCGTGATGAAGTAGTTCAGTGGGAGGCTGGCCTGAAAAAATACTGGCTCCGAGAATCGGTCCTCAAATTTGCTTATGGGCGCAATACCCAGATGATGTAACAACTACAAATGATAAAAATATTGACATATTCGGATGGGATATATGTGGAAGGACTCACCTTGCGGGCAGTCTCTCGCTCGCTGACGTACTTGTATTGATAATTGCATTCCCGCCGCAATTTGATGTAATTACCAGCCGCATAGATATTCGGATCATTGGTCTGATAGCATTCGTTTACCAGGATATTGTCACCATCTAGGTCTAGGTCCGCTTTTTGCATCCCTAATGCGGAATACAAGAGTCACTTGGTAAAAGTAATCTAAGGACTTGGTACACTCACATATCTTGTTCTCCGGTTTCAGATGACCCTCTTCGAAGGATATGAAGAGGTCACACTCGTAGGTCACCAGATGGCGACGAGGAAAATGCTGGAAGACCACCTGCATAATGAAGTCACCGGACTCGTGCAGCACCCAGTGATGGAACTTGTAATCCTCCATGCTCATCACACCGCTGTCCGTGAGAATTTCGCTCAGGATGACCTGCAAGTTATTATCCCAATACGGATTCTTTTGCTTAACCTCCTCATCGGTGCCGATGGTTCGAGTCGGCTGTACGAATATTATCCGGGAGTTATCTACGCCATGGCTAATCAGGAATGCGACGCACTCGAAGGTGGACAAATTATTGCCATATACCACAATGCGGTAGGTGTGCGGCATTTCCTTCAGCAGAGTCCGTATCTTGTAAAAGAGCAGCAGCTTGTTAATTCGACTGTTCACCTCCACAAAGTTGCACGGGCAAGAGATGGCCTGCTCGGTGCTCGGAACCTTTAGGACGAAACTTCGGGCGCACATTAGCAGCAAGGTGTCATAGTAGATCTCGCAGGAATTCGCCTTTACAAACTTCTTCTCCCTGCGTGCGTTTTGGGATTAGATAATCAGAGTGACTTTACTAGGGCTTAACCTTTCCCACCTGTTAATGAACTGTACTTTGCCGGGTACAAAGTGCACCCAGTATCGCATATCCATGCGCCAACAACAGTCACGTATGTAACAGGGCACATTCTGAAACGAGAGATAGCAACGACGCTTATCGGAACAATAGGGACACTCGAACAGGTTGTCGTACTCCGCCTCCATAACCCCGGGTTACAGATAACCGTAACCTCTGGCCAGCTTAGGCAGGTGTAGTTACTGGCGTTACTAAAGCTAAGTAGTTATGTTTATACAGTTTAGAAGTTCTGGTTTTTATAAAGTCCCCAATGCTCACTCCTTGGTGTTCCACTGGAATATAAGTAGACGGAGAAAGGCCTTGGTCATGGCGGTAAAGCCAATAATGACGAGTTTCCTGCTGCTGGTAAACCACTTGTTCGGTTTGAGTCTGTGCCGATAGACTATCAGGTAATCCCGGCCGAAATTGGTCTTGGGAAGATTTAGCTTGCTGGTCGAAAACTCGACTTCTTTAATGAGCGTAAAAGTCACAGGAGCCTTCTTTATAGGCCTTGGCTCCAGGACCATCATCATTTTCTTTAGATCGTTGCCGAACTTGCTTTCCTGCAAAGCAAATGAAATTAATTAATTAAATAATTAAATCCTCATCAACTTACATGGAACGAGGAGATGAAATAAAAGTCGAAGTAGTTCGTCTTTCTGGCCAGATCCCGAAAGATCTGTGCGGAGCTGACTAGGAAGAGTGGGTGGAGGCGCAAGGATATGATCTCAGCTCTTAGGTGATCCAGATGATTCTCTTGGCGGGGCAGGTGATAGTGATCGAAAAGCTTCGAATGATTGTGGAACTGCCTAAGCACTACGTACCCAATGGGCGTATTATGCTCAATGGATTTCGTCGAATTCCCGCACCGAATGGTAAACACAGAAAACTCGCTAAACTCATTCTCCAAGACATCCGCCATAATATCCTCGAGGACTCGCATCTCGTTCTCCAGCTCCGCCCGCTCGTTGACCATGGCGCAGTAGGAGACACCCTCTGAAGAGTACGATGGGGAATGCCCCTTCTCTGCCAGACTACCCACAACCAGCTTGAGCACCACCGGTACATCCTCCTTCGTCATCTCATATATGCTGATCTCTCCGAAAATGGTGCTGCGGTGTGTGATGAACACCTCTTCCAAATCGGGCAAACTAGTGGGCCGTGCGATCACCGGCTAAACTCACAGAAATTATTAATATCAAAAGCATTTCGGCCTAAGTACTTACCATAAAATACGAAAGAATCTCGGTGTGACTTTTGATGATCCTATCCTTCTTATTCATTATCATTATGCAGTAGTCCTTGTCCGGATAAGCGCAAAACGTGGCCACCAGACAGTTGAAAAGCCGCGACAATGGGAAACCCTCTTTCGCCACAATGCACTTGAGCTGGAAGACATTCGAGGCCGCCTGAATGGCCTTCGGCCCGGCAGGATAGCCTTGGGTGGGGTAAATAAAGTTGATGTAATTTGGCTCGTTTCGCATATAGTATTCGCTACTGCTGAGCTCTGGAAGGTGGGAGATTTAGCATAGCTATATGTTCTATTCAGGATCAAATGCAGATCTCACTATCAATGATATACTTGAACCTTGAATGCAGAACCTCGCGCATAAAAAAGTTATTTTTATCTTTGTCCTCTGCAGGATCATCAATGGTGCCCTTATGGGCGGAAAGCCTTATCTTGCCCCCACTGGCCACACTATCAAGAGATATTCGATTAAAAGGATGTGATGCAGTCTTAAGCTATTAAAACACCTACCTCATGCCACTGTCAACCTGTTGGATACCTCCCAGAATAGTCATATTGTGCAGATCCGTGAGGGCATCCGCCGTGAACATGCTGGCTGGCGCTCTGCGGTTCACTGAACTGCAGGATATCCGTTTTATGATATATGGATATTAGCCACTGAAGGACGCACACTTACTACACAGTAAACGCTTCGTAGTGAAAGGAATTGCCATCGACGCCCTTCACCAGATTACCAAAGGCTCCGACCTCGAAGTTTTGCACATAGAACCGAATGTCAATATCCCCGGACAGCCACATAAAGACAGCAATCTCGGTCTCCTCGTTCTGAGTGCTCATCTCGCCTACGACAAGGAGGTTCTTCTCCGATCCTGGTTTCTGACCCATTATCGCTTCCGCTATGTAGAAGTCACCTAGAGTCTGGCGCATCTCAGGCATCTCGACCTCTTGTAGGGCAATGATGTCATCGTTGTCCTCGGCTCTGGTGGAAATACAAAATGTTAAATATCCTTAACAAGGAATCTCCAACTTGCAACTTACAGCGCCTTGCGATATGTCATCCATGGCATCTGTTCAAAGCGAATCACAATGTACAGCGATTGCGTGTTGTCGTTTTTCTCCGCACAAAACTCTTGTGGATAGAAGACCTTTGATAGTTCCTCCAGATCTTCGAAGCTCTCGTTAAAGTGACTGGGTTGTCGTACATTGGGTGTCCTTACGGTAATTATGTACCAAACCCTATTCTCTCGGTAGAATACTTGCCTCATGATCTCAGAAATCACACACGGATACTCGACCTTGTAGATGCAAAAGTTACAGAACAAAGCGTTAAGCCAGCTAATGGCAAAGGTTAAACTGCAAGGCGGAAGGCGAATCAACAACTAAGACATATCAGGATTATATTCCGTGGGATACCAGTATCTTGCGGACAACCACTCCATCCAGCATTCGGAGGGCAGAGCGTTCACGGCAGGATAATTACGGAACTCGGCGTAGGCCACCAAATCGGAGGTTGTCTTGTTACGAGCCAGCAGTCTGTGGGTCTGGTAGGTTTGAAAGAGTGACTTCTTGCCACGATACTTTGGCCGGATATTGCCAAACCACTTGACGCCTGGCGACCAGATCAGCTTGTTGATCTCTTCCAGGTCCTCCACTTTGGCGAAGAACACCTCGAAATTCATCGTGTATGTGCTAATGGAAAGGATGTATATGTGTATTTTGTTATTTAATTTGTTTGTTTTTTATTTATATTGTGTAAGAAGTGTGTCATCGAAATTCAAAAACATATTGAGCTCGAAGCCTCAAAATGTTTTCTAAATCAAATTGCTGCCTGCTTGGATTTTGAGGAAAAGAGTTTGGATTTTATTAAAGCGTTATCCCGTCAATAACATAACACTTGGCCTTGGCCTCTTCGCATTGTTCCTTTGTGCCCGCCTTGGTGGTACCCTCCCATCGGAAGTAGGGACACTCGTGCTTCTGGTGGTAATCGCTCATGCACATGAATACCATCAATAGATAGGGACGACAGGCGCCCTTCAAAAGCACCTTGGCGCCTGGGCTGGCCTTCAGCAGGTTGTAGACACCCACAGCATCCTTGCGACAGAAGTCGTACATGGCAATATGATACTCCTTCTCCTTGGGTCGGTTCTCGTACATCTTTTCAGCATCGAGTTTGACCATTTTCATATTGATAGTGTCGCTCTTACCGATGTACTTCTTCTGCTTGTACAGGCACTCCACAAAGCACTAAGAAACAACTTAATTTAATAATTAAATCTTAATTTAATTTTCATACCGATAGAAAACGTAGAGTCTTGCCAATGTCCGAGTCTCCATCCGCTGGCAACTTGGGGGAATGTATAACGAAACATTTCGTTAGGTCTTCCTCGTTGCCAATATAAAGCTCAGAACAGCAGCCATCACGCTGGATTAAAAATAGTTTAAAAGTTAGCTATTACTGGTACAAATTTCCCTAAATAGCCTCTCACATTCTTGTTACACTTTTCCTCGCTCAAATCCCCGCCAGAAGTAGCCACTGTGGTGCTTTCCTCAGGATCCTGTGCCCCTGAATTAAATACCAGGACTAAGGTCAACCAACAATAAACAAGTTTGACCATCGCTTAACGAATGGGTGTAATTTACAATGGCCACAAACATTTATAACATCATGTGCTGACCTCATTACTAGCGTAAATTGGATTGCTTAATTAAATGTAACAAATGGCAGTTGTAATGCCCAAAGTGCAATGAGCGGAAAACGGTAAATATATATTCTATTTTTCGACAGTTTGATGACTTGACATTTGGCAAATTGGCAACGATTTCCTGCTAATACTTCAAACAATTTATCTGTTCACTATATAAAGAGTGTGGCTTTAGCTGATTTTGTAGGAGAGAGCAGCAGCAGAGCCATGAAGTTTATAATTCTAGCCAGTTTTGCATGCCTAATATGGGTAAGCCCTTACAAAAATAATAATATTTACTGAATACATATTTATTTTTCCAGTTCACCAGAGGCATTAAAATTGACTGTGAAAATCCGGAGGCCATTAATGAGGAGCATATCCATTACTGCTGCAAGCATCCCGAAGGCCACAATGACATTATCGAGAGCTGTGCCAAGGAAACGGATTTTATGCTGCCCAATCATAACGAGGAGGCACTGGTGGACATCACCGCAGATCGAGCCATTCGTGGCACCTGCTTTGGCAAGTGTGTCTTTGGAAAACTAAACCTGATGAAGGATAACAACCTGGATATGGTGGCTGTTAAGAAATATTTCAATGACAAGTTTGTCGACGATCCGGAATATGCCAAGGAAATGATTAATGGCTTTGATCACTGCCATGGCAAAAGTGAGTACAGATCTTACCTTCTTGGATATCTTGTTACCAATTTTTTGTTTCCTGCAGGTGAGGAGAACACCTCCAAGTTCCTGTCGAAGCCCCTGTTTAAGCAGATGTCCAAGCACTTCTGTGAACCCAAGTCCAGTGTGGTTCTGGCCTGTGTGATTCGTCAGTTTTTCCACAACTGTCCAGCAGACCGTTGGTCCAAGACCAAGGAGTGCGAGGACACTTTGGCCTTTAGCAAGAAGTGTCAGGACTCGCTGGCCACACTTTAGATTTCAATTTAAAAGGATATGCAATAAAAATTATTTCAATATACATTTAAAGATTTTATCGTCTCTTGAAATGTAAAAGGTTAGGGAATTTGGGAAATATATTCTATGCAATCTAAGGTTAAAAATAAAAGTATAATAAAGGATATGATGAAAATGAATATCTTAAAGGTTTTTAAAATGGTTTCAATTAACCTTGAAAAAATATATATTTAAATCAAGTTGATTTTAACAACAAATTTTTCAGTTAACTAATAATTCTTCTCAAACTTGTTTTCTTTGCACATACACCATTTTATGTATAATTTATTGAATTATAAACACAATAATTTACAATTTTTACATGATGGTGAGCACATCCTTGCATTTCTTGGAAACGGCCCGTGCTTCCTGGCATTCGGTGGTATTGGACCAACGATTCTTTGGGCAATTATGGAAAAAATTATAAATCACACAGGACATAATGATGCTGGATGTGGGCTTGCAGAATTTGCCCGAACCAAAGGCCTTTACTATTGGCAGCGACAGGAACTGCTCGGCAGCCTTTTCGTCTAAAAAAAGAAACTATGTTAAGTATTTCTAAATTTATAAAATGAAATTACTCACTTTCCGAATGACATTTCTCGTAAGCATTCAGCATTTCAGTCTCATATTCTGGATCCGTGCTGTGGTATCTCTTGTAGTAAGACCTGACTTTAACCATATCCAAGGTGTTGTTCTCCAACAAATTGTAATGCTCAAAGACACACTTGGCCCAGCAAGTGCCGGTCATGGCTTGGTCCACCGTTACATCCTCTATGGCCTCCTCGTTGGCATTGGGCAGACGGAAATTGGTCTGTTTGGCGCACATTTCGGTAACATCGTTATGGCCATCGGGATGCTTGCAGCAACGGTGGATGTTCTCCTCATGAATACGCTCCGTGTGCCTGCAATCTATCTGGATAGCTAATGTGCTATACTAAAAGATAGAGTGAAAATTAAATACTTTAAATAAACTGTTAAAGTTGTGGTATATTACTAGCATTGCCTTAGTTTATAAAATACAAAGTAAATCTCTTAAAATACACACCAATAACTGCGACAGAATCACACAGAGAATCACAAAGCCAGTCCTAATCATGTTGACAGGTTTTTAGGTTTAGAGTGTCCCCTCATTTTATATGTCAGCCAAACGGTTCCCCTTTGATGGACACAGTTCCGTCCTAATGGCATTTTGCAATGTTCCGCATTAATTTAATTCGCATCCATTATTGTGACAACAAACCTGGCAACGGCCAGGTGAACAGACGGCCACAAAAACTCGGGTCATGGTAACGCCGACAATGAAATCGTTATTTATTTCCCGAGGCGCGGCTTTCGTTCGCTTAATTAGTCTGAGATTGGCCTTTGAAACTTGATAAGCTGATTTAAGGGAAAATTCTAAAAAGGGAGAAAAACAGTAGCAAGATGGGTAAAAAGGGTAAAGGCAAAGGCAACAAGTTGGCCAAAATGTCCGAGGAGGAACGCGCCCGGTATCTGCAAATGAGGGCCGATCAGGAGGAGGAGACGCGGCGCCGTAAGATGCAGCTCATTTCCATGTACATGAAGGTATCGCTTACCGATTTCAATAGAAATTTAAAATCACTTAAGGCATCGTTTCCAATAGAACAAACTGAAAAGGGAGGATGCCTTTGGTCGGTTGAACATGGCCAAGATAAACCAGGAATGGCGTAGCATATTGCGCCAGGTTAAAATCCAGGAGCTGCGTAGTGAAATCGTCGATGTGGAGTCCTTTTTTCAAGAGGCCCTAAAACGCAAGGATCAGGTTATACATCGATTGATTGCCCACATTGAATCCACTGAGGATATGTACGCCAATCTCCAGCAATCCCATATGGAAAATATTACTAAAATTGTTGGTGGGTTTATTGATAAGAGAATTATAAAACCAAACACCTTAATAACTGAAGTCTCATCCTGCCCCAAATGAATCCCTAAAAACTAAGACACCCATCGTGAACGCATCGAGTTCTTTCGACGCATCTACGAGGATGATAAGCAGGCGGTGCTAAGCGAGTGGGAACAGGACTCTGCCGGCTTCAAGGACATGCACGCCCAGAAGCAGCAGCAGCTCGAGTGCGTTTTCTACCAGCTGGAGGAGACGACCGACGGCGGGATCCGTGACAACCACGAGCGCTTTCTGGACCGCTGCGAGGACTTAAAGAGTGGGGTAAGTGTGGGCAAGAACCTAGGTGAAGAGCATGTTGCCATGCTCCTGCCAATCCTCGCACTGCGCCTTCGCGTACTCCGACATGCACTTGACCAGCTCCCGGGAGACGGCGCACTTGTTCTGCCTGCTCCGACCGACGTTGTCCAGATACCGGAAGCACTGCTGCACGGTGTCCGTAAAGAAGTTGCGGAGTTCCCGGTCGCGCAGATCTTTGGTCAGCAAGTAGCTCACCTTGCGCCGATCGGGCATCCCATTGCCATCCACCTGGGGAAGGATAGGAAGAAATAGGAAATATTTATAGTCTCAGCCCTGGAGCTACTATAAGTCCAAGGAAGAGTTAGCGATGGGTAAACACCTACCATATTCATCTCCTCGAAAAAGCACTGGGCCACACACTGACCTCCATCGCCTCCAGAGCCTCCTCCAGTGTTGTTCCTGCCTTCCTGTTGCCGGGTCAAGCTACGCTGCCACCGGTTGCCATAGCCACCGCGACCTCCCTGATTTCTATCCCGATCTTGCTCCTGATCCTCATCCTGATTGCGCCCAAAATCATAGCCATAACCGCCTCCTTGCCGGCCTGTCTGTCCGCGTCCTCGATCCTCGTTGTCGTCCTGCCGGCGCATGCAGCTCCGAACGGTTCTCTTCAACTCTGCCTCGCCCAAGCCCTCCTGCGATCGGCACTTGAGGCTGGAAATGCAGTGGGAGCAGATGCTTAGGCAGATGACCACCAAGATTAGCAAACGCATCTCGTTAACTGATTGGGGAATCAGCTGAACCAACTCCATTTATAGTTGCTAAGAGTGACATCCAAAATAACTGCATGACTGACACACAATGCTCCAAAGTCATCCCTCGCTTGGGAATCGCGTGCCATATTAATGTGTCATTGTGACATATTTTCAGTGGTTTGATTAATATTTTACTTAATTCATAATTTAATTTAAACGCACAGATGCAACTGCAGTTGGAACAGATCACCTCCAGGGGAGAGGCCAGGCTGGAGAAGCTGTGGCAGGAGTATCAGTCCGTCCTCGCCGGCTATTGTCAGCACATCGAGGGTTTCTATTCGGAGTATGTGGATCTCAAGCAGCGGGACGAGGAGGCAGCCCTTCAGATCAGCCAGCAAACGCATGAAATCGAGCATTTGGTGGACCAACTGGCCAATCTGCGCCTGGTCTCCGAGGAGTTCTATATTAAGCAACAGGGTCAAGTGGAGCAGCGGCAGTCCATCAAGCAGCAGCTGACCGAAAGACTCCGGGAGCTCCGCACCTGCGTGGAGGACGAGGTGACCCAAAATCATCAGTCGTTCAAGCTGATGTCCGTGGAGAGCTACAATGCCCTGGAGTTTCTCCAGGAGATAGTGGGAAAGGGGGAGATACTGATCCAGCTGTCCAACGTTTGTGCCAAGATGGAAACAGAGCGGGAGCGCATGTTCCAGCTGCCTGAGATATCCCGGGAGATTATAGAGATACGTGAATTGGAGGATCAACAGGCTGGAGTATCAACCGATCCGGCTACTGATCTCCTTAAGGTAAGGATCTTCTTGTAATGCCTTTGATACCCATTCATAAAATGTATCTTTTTCCAGGACGAGGTGGGTGTGGTGCCTCAAATGGACACGTTTTGGCGGCGGGTAAACAACGTAGCCGTGGATGTAGCCTGCTTGAAACAGCAAAAGCGTCGTCTGGAAGCAGAGAACGCACAACTGAAGGCTCAACTGCAAGACTATCTGGTCAATCTGAATATAGCCAACGGCTCCAACAGTCACATCCACCAATACCTGGCCCGGCGACCCAAGAGCATGTCTGTGGACCGGGTGTCGCGTCTGCAGCTCCAGCCCAAGCAGGTGAGAAGCGCCCTGCCCACAGGTCGTCGTCCTCAGGCGCCCACACCGCCCACTTTCCATCTCCATTCGGGGCGCAGTCGAGTGCCCGCCTTCGAGGCTAATTTCACAAGTGCGGTACGCTCAAGGAACTTGGTCAGGGGTAGGGTAGAGCTGGCCAGAATCAACAGAAAATGGTGTCTATAAAGTTTAAGAAAAGTTAAAGTATTAACAGCTTAACTATATAATATTCTTATTTTAAATTCCTAGTTTCAGAAATCAAATATATTACGAACAATTCAAACTTAATAATAGTAATTATTTAATAATGAAGAAATATACTAAACGTACAGAATTAATTGTTATTTTGAGAAAATAATACAAATAACAAGAATGTTTAAATTTGAATCATAGGTTAAAACGACATACAATGGTGAATCGGTTAAGCAGCGTTGCCAGATCAGTGAATTATAATGTTTTTTGTATATTTTGGTGTTCTTAATCATATCGTTCCGCAGCAGAGTTTCCAGCGTTTTTAGTAGCTGTGTATCTGTAAACTTGTAAAATGTAAAATGTACATTTAAACATCGGTATGTTAAATTTCAGAATCAAATTGTTAAAAAGTAAAATCGTCTACTATATTGTTTCATTTAAGAAGACGTAAGAATTACACATTAACATGAGACAATTGAATTTGAAAAATTATTATTATAGACAAAACAATAAAACGAAGAGTGAATTGGCATTTTCTTTCTCCCTTCTCAAGTAAAAAGTAAAGTAATGTAGATGTAAAAAAACATCTCCGTAAATATTTTGAAGGTTTTAAGCTAGTTTCAAGCTGTATCAGCTTTTCCATTTTCAAATATGCCAGATCTAGCCTAAAGAAAGCTAAACTGGCAACACCGTCTCCGATTTCCACAATTTTCACATCAATTGCACGGAAATAATTAATTTTCAACTTCTAAATAAAAGTAAGTGCGCTGCAATGATATAAGTGATCGAACCGCGAACCTAAAGCCCCCTAATAAGCCCCAAGATTGTGGATATTGTGTATGTGAAGTGCAGCTGCTATCGAGATGTAAAATATTACAACGCGGAGGAGTTATAGATACAATGCACTGTTATAGATACAACAACAAGCGGAACGAGGAGGAAAGCCGAGGAACGGCTGGCAGGAGAGAGTGGGAAGGCGCGAGTTCGGGGTGTGGGAGTGCGAGCGAGAGGGTCGGCGGGTTCTTGTTCTTGTAAAATTACCAAAAAGAAAATTCGTTCGGGAAATGTGGAAAATGTGCGCGAGAGCTGCTGCTGCCTCAGAAAACAACCCCGAAAAGGGAGCAATCGACGAGTAAATACCAACAAAACTTACACTGCGCGGCTGATTAATAAGAACTAAAATAAAAAAATAAACGCAATAAAACCGATTTAGAAGATGTCCAGAAACGGTAGAGTTGAAAATGAAATAAAAAATAAAAAACGTTATAAAGAAAGTGTGAGAACATCATCGTGAAATCAAACTCCGAATCAGAATTTGGATTGTAAATTTTCGGGGCTCGCCGCCATCGAATGGCAGATAAACACACAAAGAGAGATAAATACAGAAATAAAATTAATGGAAAACCAGCATAGACATATACAGTGAGTGCTCGGTGAAGTGAACCATCTGTTCAAGGAGTGTTTGTGAAACTGAGTATGTGGGTATTTTTAGAGATTACAACTTTACGAGTGTAAGAATTATAATAAAATAGGTGAAATTACGATATTTTTTGTTTAAATTTTTTTTAAAATCATTTTATGATGCAGTTCAAAGATTTTAATTATAAACAGGATATTAATAACATTAGTAAATCGATTTATGGCTAGCTATATTTACTTTTTTACCATAAAATCTGAGCAATAAGATTTCAAAATAATTAAAAATTAATTTGTTTCCATTGATTGTTGCATACTTTTGCAAAAAGTTTGAATTGATTTTAAAATACTATACGATTTACTCTTGTTTATGTTATAAGTATTAAAGTATTCACCTCAATTAGACATGAGATACAATCTAATTTCCCTGCTTCGAGTGGGCACTGTACGTGGGTGTGAGTGAGTGACTGAGGAGTGTGTGCGGTGTCCGCGTGTGTTATGTGTGTATGTGCTTATCACATGGAAATGCAGGCGGCGTAAGTGGAGCAGTCGAGAAATAATTTGGAATTTTGGACAGATAAAAAGCACATAACACCACACATAAACCCCTTGAAACCCCAAAAATAATAATAATAAAATAAAAACGAAAGGGCCACGCCTTGCCATTATCCTAACAGCTGCCCACAAACATTTCACTAACTCATACATATATTGCCACCATCAATCGTAGGATCCACAAACGCTACAATGATCGCCGCTCCATTGAACCATCTGAATAATCAGCTGTAGAGTCACCGCCAGCACCTCCTCCTATGCATCCCGATCTTCATAGCATCGCCTTCGCCTGGAGCACGACTAGCACAGCTACTACTATTAACCCTTGTCCGAGCAGCCGGGGGAGCAGGATGCTGCTTCTGCCGCTGCTCCTCGGCCTCCTGGTGGCCCTGCCAGCAGTCAGAGGTAAACTACCGAGCTCATCCGGATTTCCCTCTGTCATCGCCATGCCATGTATCCCCTGATACCATTCCTCCTCCTTGCAGGCCAATACCAATCGCCGCGCATCATCGAACATCCCACGGATCTGGTGGTCAAGAAAAATGAGCCAGCCACACTCAATTGCAAAGTGGAGGGCAAGCCGGAGCCCACTATTGAATGGTTTAAGGTACACAGTTATAAATTAATTAAAAAACCAATAGATTACATTTATATTACTAGGAAATCTCCAGGTTTAAAAGGTGTAATTTAAACATTTCTTTCGATTCAAGTTTAAATTATTCTAATTTAGATAGTTTTCCTATAATTCATGGAGAATAGCTTATAGTGTTGTATACTTATCTTCAAGAATCATAAATCAGAATCATAGCAGAAATCCTTTATAAATTAAACTTTGCTATATATAAAATCAAACTCCTCTATTGTAATATATTTACGTTTTATTTAATGTATTTAAGCTTATAGTTTTCCCCCAAGTGTAGTGACAAACCAAAAACTTAAACCTTTAAATCTCAACTCAATTTCTCACTTTCTTTACCCGATTTTTAGGATGGAGAACCCGTCAGCACCAACGAGAAGAAGTCACATCGTGTCCAGTTCAAGGACGGTGCACTCTTCTTCTACCGGACGATGCAGGGCAAGAAGGAACAGGACGGCGGCGAGTACTGGTGCGTGGCCAAGAACCGAGTGGGCCAGGCCGTTAGCCGTCATGCCTCGCTCCAGATAGCTGGTAAGTCCATGTTACTCCACTCCACTCCAGTCCCAGTCCCAGTCCTCAAGTCCGTAGACTGGTCTGCCCACACGCGAGGCTTTGTTACTGACTATTTCGCCTTTTTTTTTACTTTTTTTGTTGTTTGCACAGTTTTGCGCGACGATTTTCGCGTGGAGCCCAAAGACACGCGAGTGGCCAAAGGCGAGACGGCTCTGCTGGAGTGTGGGCCGCCCAAAGGCATTCCAGAGCCAACGCTCATTTGGATGAAGGTGGGTACAAAAAACTAGTCTCACCCAAAATCAGTCAAAGTTTCGCCAGCTAAACCGCTTTTTTCCCCTCACTAGGATGGCGTTCCCTTGGACGACCTGAAAGCCATGTCGTTTGGCGCCAGCTCGCGCGTGCGAATCGTGGATGGGGGTAACCTGCTGATCAGCAATGTGGAGCCCATTGACGAGGGCAACTACAAGTGCATTGCCCAGAATCTGGTGGGGACACGCGAATCCAGCTATGCCAAGTTAATTGTCCAGGTCAAGCCCTACTTCATGAAGGAGCCCAAGGACCAGGTGATGCTCTACGGCCAGACAGCCACTTTTCACTGTTCCGTGGGCGGGGATCCGCCGCCAAAGGTGCTGTGGAAGAAGGAAGAGGGCAATATTCCAGTGTCCCGTGCTCGAATCCTACACGATGAGAAGAGTTTGGAGCTCTCGAATATCACGCCCAGCGATGAGGGCACCTACGTCTGCGAGGCGCACAATAATGTGGGACAGATTAGCGCCAGAGCTTCGCTCACAGTTCATGGTAAGTCTTGCTTTTTTACTCCTTCAGTTAGACACTTCTAATCAATGGTTTTTAATACCTCAGCTCCTCCCAACTTTACCAAGCGACCTAGCAACAGGAAAGTGGGACTCAATGGCGTTGTCCAGCTCCCCTGCATGGCAGCCGGAAATCCACCGCCTTCGGTTTTCTGGACCAAGGAAGGCGTGTCCACCTTAATGTTTCCTAATAGCTCCCACGGCAGGCAGCATGTGGCAGCAGATGGAACCCTACAGATCACGGATGTACGACAGGAGGACGAGGGCTTTTATGTCTGCTCTGCGTTCAGTGTGGTTGATTCCTCAACGGTACGGGTATTCCTGCAGGTCAGCTCGGTGGACGAGCGACCGCCACCCATTATTCAAATTGGACCCGCCAATCAGACACTGCCCAAGGGATCGGTGGCCACGCTGCCCTGTCGAGCCACTGGGAATCCCAGTCCCCGCATCAAATGGTTCCAGAATGGACTTGCCGTGCAAACAGGGAATCGTCACAGTGTCATCCAAGGCAGTTCATTACGGATTGATGGTAAGATGGTGTACACCTGCATGTTTTTCGTAGATTTCTTATTGATATATAATTTTTATAGATCTCCAAGTGAGTGATTCTGGTTCCTATACTTGCACTGCTTCCTCAGAACGTGGAGAGACTTCCTGGGTAGCCACTTTAACGGTTGGTTTTGATACAATTTCCTTTGATTTTAAAGATCTTTAACCCCGATTACCTTTTACTTAAGGTGGAAAAATCTGGCTCTAATACTCTGCATCGTGTCGCTGATCCAAGCACGTATCCTGCTCCACCAGGCACACCCAAAGTCCTCAATGTCAGTCGCAGTAGCATCACCCTCCGTTGGGCCAAAAGCCAAGAGAAGCCTGGTGCTGTGGGACCCATTATCGGGTAAGATGACGCGACACACACCCCTGCAATGAGATCACCATTTAAATTTATTTTTATTACTTTAATCTCAGCTACACTGTAGAGTACTTTAGTCCGGATCTGCAAACTGGTTGGATTGTCGCCGCCCATCGTGTGGGCGACACTCAAGTCACTGTAAGTTAAACTACAAGTACATAGGGTAGAACTTTGATTAACATGTATTTCGCTTGCTTTTCAGATTTCTGATCTCAGCCCGGGGACTTCGTATGTATTTCTTGTGAGAGCTGAGAATTCACAGGGCGTATCGGTGCCTTCGGGCTTATCGAATGCCATTAAAACAATTGATGAGGACTTTGATGCAGCTTCAGCCAATGATTTGTCAGCCGCACGAACTTTGCTGACTGGAAAGGTGAGCTAAACCTTCAAACGTACTCAAAGTAAACTTTATTAAATAAGGTTTTCTTTCTGCCTATAGTCCGTGGAGTTGATAGATGCCTCAGCAATAAATGCCAGCGCTGTGCGCCTTGATTGGATGCTGCATGTGAGCGCAGATGAGAAATATGTTGAGGTAAGCCCATTTAATTATTGGTTAAAAACCCGAGCTAATCACATTATCTTTCAGGGCATTCGTATACATTACAAGGATGCCAGTTCCGAATCAGCTCAGTATCACTCGATCACTGTTTTGGATACCTCAGCTGAATCGTTTGTGGTGGGCAACCTGAAAAAGTACACCAAATATGAGTTCTTCCTTACGCCCTTCTTTGAGACCATTGAGGGACAACCCAGCAACTCCAAGGTGGCCCTTACTTATGAAGATGGTGAGTACTATTAAACGGTGAGGTAGTATTTCTTATTATTAAATATTTTATATGCCATTTGCAGTACCCTCTGCCCCGCCAGATAACATACAGATTGGCATGTACAACCAAACAGCCGGCTGGGTACGTTGGACTGCGCCGCCCGCCCAACATCACAATGGCAATCTGTATGGCTACAAGATCGAGGTTAGTGCGGGCAACACCATGAAGGTGCTTGCCAACATGACGCTCAATGCCACGACCACATCGGTGCTCCTAAATAACCTAACCACCGGAGCCGTCTACAGTGTGCGACTGAATTCCTTTACCAAGGCTGGAGATGGGCCCTACTCCAAGCCGGTAAGTTAAGCACAGAGTACTAATTAGTTACCTTTTTATTAACATTCTTTAATTATTAGATCTCACTCTATATGGACCCCACCCATCATGTGCATCCGCCACGTGCCCATCCGAGTGGCACTCACGACGGCCGTCATGAGGTTCAGGATATGACGTATCATAGCAATGGAAATATACCCACCGGCAGCAGTAATCCCACCACGCACAAGAAAACCACTGATTACCTCTCGGGACCGTGGCTAATGGTGCTGGTGTGCATCTTACTCTTGGTCTTGGTCATTTCGGCGGCCATTTCCATGGTTTACTTCAAGCGGAAGCATCAAATGACCAAGCAACTGGGTCACATGAGTGGTAAGTTTTAAAATTAGATTCCAATTAAGCAGAAAATGGCATTGACTAACATCTCATGCTTTCAAATTCATATTTCTAGTGGTCAGCGACAACGAGATCACCGCATTGAACCTTAACAGCAAGGAGAGCCTTTGGATTGATCATACTCGTGGCTGGAGAACCGCAGATACGGACAAGGACTCGGGATTGAGCGAATCGAAGCTACTATCCCATGTTAACAGCAGCCAGTCGAACTACAATAACTCGGATGGCGGTACAGACTACGCTGAAGTAGATACCCGCAATCTGACAACCTTCTACAACTGCCGAAAGGTTAGATCGGTGGAATACCCCATTAAAGTTTGTTAGTTAATCTAAATATACTTTCAGAGTCCTGATAATCCCACACCGTATGCCACCACCATGATCATTGGAACCTCTTCGAGTGAAACCTGCACTAAAGCCACTTCCCTGAGTGCCGACAAAGATTCGGGCACTCATTCACCCTACTCGGACGCATTTGCCGGCCAGCCACCAGTGGCTCCTGTTGTGAAATCCAACTATTTACAGTATCCGCCAGAGCCCATCAACTGGTCAGAGTTCCTGCCTCCACCACCAGAACATCCGCCGCCGTCTTCCACCTATGGCTATGCCCAGGGATCACCGGAATCATCGCGGAAGAGCTCCAAGAGCGCAGGCTCTGGCATTTCAACTAACCAAAGGTAAGAGCGGCAGGAATGGGAAATATTTACTTTAAAATATTTCCTAAATTTAAGTATTTTATTGCTTAAGTAGAAGAATGTGTTCTTATTGTGAAAATCCTTTTTTCTTTTCTTGCAGCATCCTGAACGCTTCGATACACAGTAGTTCCTCGGGCGGCTTTTCCGCCTGGGGCGTCTCTCCGCAATATGCCGTCGCCTGTCCCCGGAGAATGTGTACAGCAATCCATTGTCGGCTGTGGCTGGCGGCACACAGAACCGCTACCAGATTACGCCCACCAGCCAGCATCCACCGCAGCTGCCGGCCTACTTTGCCACCACGGCTCCCGGTGGTGGAATACCTCCGAATCACCTGCCATTTGCCACACAGCGACATGCAACCAGTGAGTATCAGGCGGGATTGAATGCAGCACGATGTGCCCAGAATAGGGCCTGCAACAGCTGCGACGCCTTGGCCACACCCTCGCCCATGCAGCCCCCACCGCCAGTTCCGGTTCCGGAGGGCTGGTATCAACCAGTGCATCCCAACAGTCACCAGATGCATCCCACCAGCTCCAGCCATCAGATCTATCAGTGTTCTTCCGAATGCTCTGATCACTCGAGGACCTCACACGGTCACAAGCGGCAACCGCTGGAGGAGCATGGGAGCAGCAGCAAACGAAGTGGACACCATCGTCGTCAGCCGGCGGTGCAGCCGTGCTTGGAGAGCGAAAATGAGAACATGCTGGCGGAGTACGAGCAGCGTCACTACACCAGCGACTGTTGCAATAGTTCCCGCGAAGGCGACACCTGCTCCTGCAGCGAGGGATCCTGCCTGTACGCCGAGGCGGGGGAGCCGACGCCACGTCAAATGACTGCTAAGAACACCTAAGTAGGTGGATTAGTCTTAAAGGTAGCATCTAGTCTAAACTCTTCATTCATATCGAAACTAGAAACCAGTCGCGTAGTCAAAGTTTCTGCAACAACTATTGAGATATGAGATCGAATACGTACGAACAATGCCCTGGGCTCCCATCACAACGCATTTCTCCAGGACATCCCACTATTCTAAGTATTATAAACCATTTTGATCAAAAGAGGATTGTTTTTTGCAGTTGAAATCATCATCATAATGGAGAAATGTGCTGTATGCGAATCCAGGGTGCTGACCACCAAACACACTTGTCACAATCATGGGGGCATTGTGCAGCTTAAGCAATTACGAATTTTCCATTATCACATCATCATCATCAGTATCATCTACCAGCGTAGAAACTCATATAGAAAGGCACAATGCTCCCCCATCATACCATGTGCACCACAGAAATGTTCCGAAAGCGGAAACCTTTGTACTTAAGAGAGAGACGCGTGAGCTGTACGATATAGATATTGCTTTGGGAGAGGGACAGTAATCACTAGATGACAGCAGGGATCTGGGAATCCCAGCAGAACTTCATTAAAATACGTACTCCAAGGAACTTAAATAGAGAGAAGAAGGATAAACCAGATCAGGCCATAGCAAGTACACGACTTACGTATGTAGTTAGAACCAGCATGTTTTTGGGGCTCTCGAATTGGTCCTAGTCATAGGCTTTTGATAGCGATACAATACCGATAACTGATTACGATATATAGTACTTGTATGCAAAAAAAAAAAAAATAACAAAACTCTTTCATATCTACGATCACAATCGAGCACTTGTCTCGACGAGACGAGTGAAACGGCAGTTGCAATGTTTAATGGTTAGTGCTTTTCTATAAACAAGGAATAATATACTTCATTGACCCAGTGAATATATATATATATAGTATATATATTACAAAAACTAAACTAAACACACACAACAACTACTTACATAGCATTTAGACGATTTGAGACGAGGAGATACCTGCACTTGGGGCCGACATAACCGTTCAAGGCCCTTTGTGGAGATCTCCCTCCATCATGACACACACACAATGTTTTCTACAATCTTGCATTTGAAAAAAGTCTAAAATGTACCTGTGATATAACCCCCATTTATACATTATAGTATTTTAATAATTTTTTATGTATTTATGGTTTCTTGATTTCGAGTAGCGTCGCGTCAAGTCAAGTTTTTCGTTCATTCTGTTTCGAACAACGAGGAATGTTTGTTGTTGGAAAACCGCCACGATAGACAGAGAGAAGCGAATATAGCATAATTTAGAACTTAGGCACGTAACACATTAGAAATGCAAAATGAATATATCATCAAATCGAATTGAATCGAGAGATACTTTGCTGCAAAGCACTTTTCTCCCAAAAGACACCGGATCGTGAGGTGACTCCGGGAAAGGAGGTGCTTTCAGAGTCAACGAATCGTTTAAAATAATACTAAATACACGCATATGCATTACATTACCTATATAGAGATCATATAGCACCTAGAACCGCGCATGTATCAAATCAAATCAAAATATGCTTTAGCATACCACTCACAAACACATCCACTTCCTTGCTAGCCACATGTATATATATATTATATATATATAGAGACACATACTCCTAATCCTAGTAACGTCGAATCCAACTTGCTTGAGTTGAACTGCCCTTCCGTAGCCATATATATATAGTACTTATATATATAGAGACAAAGCATAGTTGGGTCTGGGTTTTAATAATAATTAGCAACTAGTTTCTAGAGTTGTGTAACGGCGGGAGTATTTTAAAGTCATAGCGTAAACGAATTTTAAGAACGAACCGAAAACCGAAAACCTAAAAACCTTAAACCTAAAAAAATCGAAAACGGACATTTAATTTTTAGTGCGTTATGCCATAAACGAACTTTTTCAAAATGCAAAAACATAACTGACATCTTACTTACGATATATAAATACTATATCTAGATATATACATATAGCATTTAAAATTACATAAACAATAAAGGAACATTTTACATATATGTGGATAAATCAAGTGGCTTTATGCCTGTGAATCATTTTCTTTAATTTAAGCGGTTCTCTTGAATATAATGGCTTCCTTTTTCCAGTTGCAGGACCTTTTGAGTTCTTTAAGTTAAACTAAGTCATTCGGGAATATCAAGGATCTTTGTTCGTTGATCTTAAGTATTTGAGTAACATACTTGCACTTCCTGGTAATACTTCATTTCAAATTACTTTCCTGTTGCGGATATCTACATACTTCGCCAGAAATCTCCTTGAGCTGCAGCGGAACTTTGCACTTGAGACAACCCTTGAGATTGTTCCACGACCTCTCAATCCGGTTTCAGCTTACAGCCAGAGCGCTCTGCTGATCATGTGAGTGGGGTGTGGAAGTGGAAGTGGCGGTCGTTCCGAGAGCTGGACAAGTGTTAATTCCCAACGGGACACTCGGGATTCTATAACGTTCTTTTTTTTCCTGAAAAAATATGTTCAGCTGAATGTGGAGGACACGCCTAAGGAACGATATCTCGAATCTATTCTTTTTTCTAATGATTGGGATTTTAAAAGATTGTGTGAAGATTGGTTTTTGGATTATAGGTATTTGAGTTGGATGTGTAAGATCTAAGGAGAGAGTATATGTGATATATGAGATCACATTGCATTATTGTACAAATTACCTTATTTCAATATCAATTCTAAGTATATGGTTCTCTAATAATAGATCCTTAAATCCCTCTACAAATATAAGTTTTCTTACTTTTACACCATTTTTATTCCCTATTTATTTGAATTGAAACATTATCATTTTCTCACGTTTGTAAATATATTATTATTACTATTGTCTCATTTTCCTTTTAGTTTTATGTTCATTAAACAAACCTCATGCTTTTGGTGGGTGATCAGATTGCCATCAGAGGCAAATTATATGATGTTCTGTAACAAATCTGTCACAGCTTGACGCCATCCTGATGCCGGTGTCCAGAATACCACCACCTTCAGCGCCTCTAGTCTCCGCTGGTTGGACTCACACCCTTTCGGTTGAGCTGGGTGAAATGCGGGCAGACCACAAATTGGTCCAGAGATGACGATAGCATCAATTGAACAACTTGATGGCGGCGCCGTTTGTATTGTTTCAGTTCCTCCCGCAGCACTTTGGCTGCCTCAATGTGGATCTGGATCTGATGGATGGATGGCAAGTTGAAATGGTGACAAGCAATGCCTGGACAGAGACCTTAATCCTTCATCATTTAGGGACAGTTAGAACTTGTTAGTTAATCCTTTTGACTCTTCCCAAGTTAAATCCTTCTCTAAATTCTAATCTTACAAGTCGTAAGATACATTCTTAACTTAACTATGCGTGCTACAAAATCACATAGCCAACGATTTAACATCCCAATCATCCTAATTTAATGCAACATCATTTGGCTTAACTCGGATGACAGCAGTAAAAGCCACCTCCTTTGATCTTTCCTTTGGCTTGGCAATAAAGTTCTCAAGCTCCGCTTAATCGATAAGGCTCTCAGGGGCAATGAAGTTAGCAGAGACATCAATTGGCAGATGTGCCCATTTGCAGATATGAATATGCAGATGCGGCCGCATCCGTGTATCTTGTATCTGGTATCTGGCAGATAAGACAAGTAGCTGAGCGTGGGCATTGGTTCCCTCGAACCCTCATTGCCTCCGCTGCCCACGATGATTGCATTTGGCCCGCTTGCATTGCGTCTGCGCATGTTGCACCTTTTCCGCTGGCTTATTTCTACCTTTTGCGAGTATCTCCTACCTGCGGCAGCTTTAATGATCGTGATCATAGTACGCAATGCGCAAAAAAAAAAAAAAAAAAAAAGAAAAGTGGAATGGCAAGAGGGGGGAAGATGACGAGAGAGAGGCAGCCGAAAACCAATCGATTATTATATGCGCCGCACTATATTTCAGAGATGCAGACGGACGACGCATGGGTATCCGTGTATCTGAGTATCCGAGGCAGCGGCAACAGCAGAGTTCCAGCGAAGAGATTATTTTTATTTTCGTTGGCCGCCTTGACACGTCCGAAAGACTGATAGAGGGAGAGATTGGCCCTTTTTGGCCAAACCAGTTTGACAGGTAGAAGAAGCATATGAGAGGATAGGATAACGATGACGATGAGGAAGAGGATGAGGAAAGAGGACGGGGAGAAGGGACAGGACGGAGGAGGGTAGGAGGGACGCACGCCTTGCCCTTTCTGCCCGCCAGGATAATGACTGTACGACTGCGAGGGTCCTCCGCAGGAGACCTAAGAAATCAACAAAGGTTCGTTTCCCTGGCACTGATAAAATCATTCTGAGACAGAGTTCTTCTTTTTAAGTAATTTTAAAATAGGGTTTACTTCTTGAAATTAAAGAAAATTGAATAATTTTCTACGTTAAGATATTTAATGGTATTTTGAAAAAGGATTTCTATAAACTCTTTTATATATTTGTGCATTGTTTTAGTTGAAAACATCTCTGGATGGTTTATTTTGTAGAATATATTAGGATTGCGGGATTTTTTAACCTTTAGACATTACTATTACAAGGTAAACTTTTATGATAAAAAGTAATTTTTAAGAGGCAATTTTTTTACAAATAGAATCGCATGTTTAAATAACGAGCTGAAGGCTGTAAAACTCAAAAGCACATAACATTTTAAAATATAATATAATAATAATATATTAAAGTAATAAATTCATTGATATGTAATTTATAGGTGTCAAAGGGTGTTAATCTAAATAATATATTATTATTTTTATTAGAAGCTTTTAAAGCTATGAAGTAATTAATTAAAAGTAATTTATTAATTTCTTGATAAGAATAAAAAACTGAGTTGATAAAGCCATGTCGGGAGATTAATAAAAAAATTGTTTGTTAAAATTGTCAAAATTTTTCAAAAATTTATTTTTTTAATTTTAAATTGAGTTTGCAGATTTGTTAACCTAAAAAATCCCAAATGCCAAAATCAGGAAAGCTGTCCGATTCAAAATTAATGCTTTATTGGCTTAGTTATACATTTTTCCAAGTTTGATTTTTCCAAAAATGCTCATATAAAAATATCGATGAATATTCAATATAAAATTCAAATATTCTCAGCTGAGTTATGATTAATTACCGATACGATTCTAAAATGCAATTGCAAACTGCAAGGTTACATTAACTTCGGATTCGCGAAGTTTGTTTACTTTCTGGTTTTTATTTAAATATTTAAATAAAAAAACGTATTTATTTATTAAAGATTTATCTTCCCAACGCTGTAAATACAAATATACTCAATTATTTTATTTATGTACCCTGATTTATTAAGACGGTTACAATGATTTATTTAAACATTCATTTTTATAATATTAAATTTGTATTTTTGGTTTATTTTCTGTTGAGTTAAAAATAAGACAAGATGGATAGATCAAATTGGCAGTTGACTGCTTCATTGAATTAGTTTTTAATAAAAACTATTCATGCTTGGTATAAAAACTTCCTTTAATATGATGCAAAATTGAGCTGCTTTTACAGAAAGAGTATTCAATTTTTCCTCCAGCCACTTTTGTGTTTTGTGAATAATTTTCCAGGATGCTGTTGAGTGTGTATAAATGTTTGAGGGTGCGGGTGTGAGCATTTCGGGGTCAGGTAGCGGCACAGATTTTCCCAGCTAGCAGGCCCTTTCCCCGACTTTGAATCCCGATCCTGGCCCCTCTTTTCTTTTCCTTTCCTTTCCTTTCCTTTATTCTATTTTATTTGATATTTTTTTAGAAGGCAACCAAAGACGGCGGCGTTTTTCCTTTTTTTCTGAGTTAGGGGGCGACTCTGCTGCAACTGTGTGAGAGTGAGAGGCGAGAGATTCGCTTTCCTAGTATCAATAACAATGCAAGCACCGCTATTGTTGTTGCCATCCGTTGTTGCACTCGGATTTGTGCATCCCATGCAGTGTTTCTTTGCGTGTGCGTGTGTGTGTGTGTGCGGCAACATACTTTTTTCTCTTTTTTGGAGTTATCGTTAATATTTTCCTGGAAACCGGGATTGTGTTGTTGTTGCTGCGTTCGCAGGTAGCGAGCACCGATCGCACTCACATGCACACACACAGGCCCAGACAGAACGCACACCGATGCGAAAGATAGAGAGGGAAGACAGGTACCTGCTCGACTTCGGAATGCAGCAGCAGCAACACAAGCAACAACAAATGCGTCGGAGTTTGGCATTGAGCAAAAGAATAACCTGAAACCACGGAGCGGAGCTGGGGTCCAAAACCAAAGCACAGAAAGATAAATCCAAGCCAGGTCTAGCACTCAGCATTAGTTGCTGGCTCTCTCTCGATGCTTATTCTCTTTGACAGTCTAACAGTCTGTGTGGCATTCTCTCGCTCTCTTTGCCAGTGATGGTCAGTAGTATCTGAAAGATGCCATCATGCAACTAAGGCAATATTTTATTTATTATTTATTTACTACATTTTGGTAAACTAAATCAAAATAAATATATTTTCAATATTGGTTTTCAAACATTGGTTTTTATATTTACCTTAACCTGATTCCATATATCTAAATAAGTTTAAAGAGCAAGTTTTAAGATATTGTATCTTATGCTTGAGTTACATTATATATTTCAAAGATATATCTTTTGAGTTTTCCTTCGGTTCACACAAATTTTCCATATTTCCATTTTGGATTTTCCACCCCCGCCTAAAAATCTAGCCATAAACAAGCCAATCCTGGCTAGAAATCGCCGTTAAGTCAGAGCCTCCCAAAGAGAGAGAGAGAGCGAGAGAACAGTTGCCAGAGAAAGTTATTGCTACCTGCTCTGCAACACGGACAACCTTACCGCTGAATAAACGCCGTCCCGCTCGCTCTCCCGCTCTCTCAGAGAGCACGTCGCCAGTGCTGAGCCAAACCGTTTCTCACAGGCTATAAGCGACGTTACTGGCCGTTGCGAGCTAAGTATCTTTTCATCCATCGGTTCGCGCGCATCGCTTCGCATCGTCTCTGCCGCTAGAGGAGACTTGGACTCACTAACTAAAGATAACTCACAGGCCAAACCGAAGTTAGTGCAGCGCGAGTGAATCACAGTGAACCAACCAACTACTAACTAGTCTTTGACCACGCGTAAACACAGTAAAATGCAGCTTATATAGATAATAGCAAAGGAATAACTAAGCAAAGCAGCCAAGCGAACAGAGAAGTGCTAGAAATCAGAGGAGGACATGGCCACCAATACGGAATTGTTGCCCTTCCATCACCAGACAACGCTAGCCGTGCTAAACAACCTAAACAACAACCATTGCGGCGGCTCCAACAGCAATGGAGTCAACGGAGGAGGAGGCGGAGCGGCCACCTCTGCGGGAGGCGGCGGCGCCTCTGTGGGAGGAGCAGGAGCGCCCAGCTGGGCGTCCATCGATGAACTCTACCAACAGACTGAACTGCCGGTATTGACGCGAGCGGGTGCAACCGGTACCACGCATCACCACCTGCTGCGCTTCACGCCCTACGCCCTGCATCACCGCCCGCCGCCGCACCATCATCATCAGCTCCAAACCCTTCCGCCGGCCTTGTACCTCCAGCACGCAGCTGCAGCAGCGGCGGCGGCAGCAGCAGCGGCCGCCCACGCGCAGCACCATCATCACCATCACCACCACCTACCACACAGACCCGCCTCGCCGGAGAGTCCACCTCCGGCGGAGGGCACACACATCAGTAACCTCTTTCCCGAGCTGCTCGAGCAGATCTTTGAGCACCTGCCCGTGAGGGATTTAGGTCGTGCCGCCCAGGTCTGCACCGCCTGGCGGGATGCTGCGTACGCCAAGAGCGTGTGGAAGGGTGTGGAGGCCAAGCTGCATCTGAAGCGTTCCAGCCCGAGTCTATTCAACTGTTTGGTGAAGCGGGGCATCAAGAAGGTGCAGATCCTATCGCTGCGTCGCTCCCTCAAGGATCTGGTGCTGGGCGTGCCCGCTCTGACCTCCCTCAACCTCAGTGGATGCTTCAATGTGGCGGATATGAACCTGGGCCATGCCTTCAGCGTAGATCTGCCCAACCTAAAGACCCTGGATCTCTCCCTGTGCAAACAGATCACGGACACCAGTCTGGGCCGTATTGCACAGCATTTAAGGAACCTGGAAACGCTAGAGCTGGGCGGTTGTTGCAACATCACCAACACTGGCCTGCTGCTCATCGCGTGGGGCCTGAAGAAGCTGAAGCACCTGAACCTGCGATCCTGCTGGCACATCAGTGACCAGGGCATTGGCCACCTGGCGGGCTTCTCCCGGGAAACGGCAGAGGGCAACCTGCAACTGGAATACCTTGGACTGCAGGACTGCCAAAGGCTGAGCGACGAGGCGCTGGGACACATCGCCCAGGGTCTGACCTCGCTGAAGTCCATCAACCTGAGCTTCTGCGTCTCGGTGACGGACAGCGGGCTGAAGCATCTGGCCAGGATGCCCAAGCTGGAGCAGCTCAACCTGCGCTCCTGCGACAACATCTCCGATATTGGAATGGCTTACCTCACGGAGGGCGGCAGCGGGATCAACTCCCTGGACGTTAGCTTCTGCGACAAGATCAGCGATCAGGCGCTCACCCACATCGCCCAGGGACTCTATCGGCTGAGATCCCTCTCCCTGAATCAATGCCAGATCACCGATCAGGGCATGCTGAAGATCGCGAAGGCGCTGCACGAGCTGGAGAACCTCAATATTGGCCAGTGCAGTCGGATCACGGACAAGGGACTGCAGACGCTCGCCGAGGACCTCACGAACCTCAAGACCATCGATCTCTACGGCTGCACGCAGCTCAGCTCCAAGGGCATCGACATCATCATGAAGCTGCCCAAGCTGCAGAAGCTCAATCTGGGCCTCTGGCTGGTGAGATGATGTGTCCACCACGACTGCAACGCCTGTGCCGAGGAGGAGGCGGCTGCCGCGCGCAGCACTAATAATTCCCAACCTTAGATTCCGAGAGCGGCTCGGTACGGAAGGGGAACGGGTTGGGGCGAAGTCGGGCTGAGCAGACAAGATACACTGAAAAAACTCATAGCTTTCGTTTGCCATACCACACGCTGTACTACATTTTTTCGAACGAACAGAGTAGAAACAGGCGGAGAAGCTGAAAACAACGCGGCAACAACAAAAAGCAAACAATGAAACACACACACACTCACAAGGTGGAGGAGAGGTGGGGGACAGCGACAGAAAGATAGAGAGCGAGAGGGGGATAGACACAGACGGCGTCAGACGGAGAGTGATGTCATTTTGGCTTGTTAAAAGTAATTTCATTTGAAACTGAGCTGAATATAGGGAAATACCTAAAGAAGAGCTAAGCTAGAAGTCCTTATAGTTTATTTGTTATCTAAACATTTTGTAAAATTGAAGTTTGGGGTTTTCATTAGATTTTTGATGCCAAATTTTTTTAAGACATAAAAGCTTAATGAATCTCTAAATGAAATGAAGGAGTTTCCGAAAAAGCATCAAAAAGGTATAAATATCTTATAGATATTGTTTGTTTAGTAGCCAAGTCCTCTACATGTAGCTTTTTTCTCGCTGAAAGCCTGTCAACACTGTTCGTGGAGCTTGCTGTACTGCTGTGTTGTTGTGTTTGCCGCAGGTTCCTAAAGGGGGGATAAGCGTAGGCCAGAGCGAGAGGGGCGACAGCCGCTGGCGTCGGCTTACACGCACGCAGCAGCGATAAAAAATAACGAAAAACGAGAGAGAGAAAAAGAAACAGCAAACGGCAAACAGCAGCAACAACAACTGCAGCGATGGCCGACAGCAACAAAGTGCATGGCGATGGAGACGAGCGATAAGCAGCAGGAGGGAGCGAGAGGGAGCTAGGACTGCGAGTGGTAGAGTGGGCAGTGCATTTATATACATACACATACGAGCGTGTGTGCATGTGTGTGTGTGTGCAATGCAGGCCGCAGTTAAGCAGATGCAAATAAATTTAAATAGTTTATTTTAATTCACGCTTCAGCTACAAAAGCCAGCGTCCTCCATTGCCACAGCAACAACAACAAAAAACAGCAACAGCAGCAGCAGCAGAAACAATAAAACAAAGACCAGGCGACGAAGGCAGAATATGGGGAGTGGTGGTAGTGGGGAATTAAAGCTCTTTTGGAGACTTGACTCTCCGCTCTTTGTGTTGCTCCTCTCCGTCGCACTTTTCTTGCTCCCTTTTTTTCGTTTGTTTGTATCTTTTTGTTATTGTCTTCCTCGACGTCTTCTCCGCGTCTCTCGTTCGTTGCGAATTTGCTTAGTACAGCGTCGTTAGTTATGCCGTTTAATTTAGTTGATTAAAACGTAAACAAAAAGTAATGGAATTTAAGCAAAAACAATGTTAATAGTAGATGCGTAAATGTAATTCTTAGTTCTTAAACATTTGTCAAGCCACAATTAGTCAAATAACGAAAAACGAGGGGAGATAACAAACCACATTAACACAAGTTATAAAAAAAAAAACAAAACAAAACAAAAAACATACAAAACAACCTTGTTTAATAGCAAAAACTCACCTAAACATAAACACAAACCACACACACACATACAAACGTTAAAGAAAATTCTGTAAATTTTTTATTGTTTAATTTATAAGTAAGCGAAAAAAGGAAAACAAAAAAGCAAGTGGGAAAAAAGGCGAGAAGATAACGATTGAAAAGAATATGCGAATTAATTCTTTTTTCTATTGTGATATAAAATGTATTGTATAAAAAGAGGAAACATAAGCAAACAAAAAATTAACGCTAAAACAACAATTACGTAATTTTATTTAAGCAGCGACGAGACGGGACGAGAAAAAATAAACATAAAATAAAAAACACTCGAAGGAAAGAAAAAGCGAAAAAAGTATAAATTAAATTAATTAAATTAAAAATTAAATAAATATGTACAATGATATGTTAAGTCCGGTTTCCACCACCTCTCTGTTTTTTTAAATTAGTTAAATGGTCACACGATTCGATGAACTTTTGTTAAAAACTGCAATATACTGAATGCCTTAATTCTTTTGCAAAACTATCTAATATTATTATTAACTATGTTGATTCTGCGAGAACCTTTTTTGAGTTTCGATTTGCAAGTTTTCCCCTAGAACTAAGTTTATTTTTCGGTCGTTTGATATTTCTGTTTTAGGAGGCGAAATCCCCCTCCCAACCACTAAAAATTCGAAAGATGATGGCGACGTGAAAGCAAAAGAAAATAAATTAAATATGTATAAAAATCTAAAAAAAAGCCTTTACTTTTATTGATTGAATAAAGGGAGAGTCTTATGCTGTGTTTATCTTGCCAAAGAATTGGGTAAATATTCAATGCATACAGAGAAAAAAAGTGACTCAAGAAAATAAGATAGTGTAGAACCAATTAAAAACTAGAACAGGTTTTTAGGTGTGATTACAAACTTAAATCTTCAGGAATAAGGAGTTGGGAATTATAAAGATTTTTTGAATAAGGATACTATCTTATTTCTAAACCTAAATAAGGATACAATATTTTCTGCAAATGGTGCAAATGTATTTTATTCAGACATTCATAGAGAAATTAGCGGACTTATGGAATTAAAAATGGTTAGAATCAATTTAGAATAAGGTCTTATAAGGGTTTTAGGTCTGTCTAAAAACATACTTGAGAATTAAGCACTTAAGTTTCCAAAAATAACGGGTTGGGAATTATAAAAACAACGAACATTCATTGAATACCCCGTAATATTTAATTTTTTTATTCCTCTTATTACTAAACTCAAATTTAGGATGCAATTTGTTTTTGTCAGTGTTTTAAATGTATTTTATTCAGACATGCATGGAATGTGCGAAAGTGTGGGTGCTTCTGCATTTTGTAATGAACAAAGGGCCCCTTGCACTAATGCAATTGCAATGAAATGTGCAGCCAGCCAGAGATGCAGATGCCGATATATGTTTATATATATATATATATCTATATATACATATATTTGTACATATATGTATATAGCAAAGCAGATATGTGCGTATATGGCATATGCGGTTATGCAACGCACACACGCACAGCTATGCATGTACTGCAATTATTTATATTGCCTGCATTATGTATAAGCATCGGTGCATTTACAAACACATGCAGGCGACGGCCATGTACTGCACCAGCCTCATATCCCAGTGTACACATAACGGTTTTACTTGCTTGCTAACTGCTTAAATTTGCATTAAATGTGCGTATGCGTCAAGTGCGTGTATGTGTCTGATTATGTACACAAAAGCCCAGCAATGCGTCTGTGTGTGTGCTTGTATGGAAAACCACCCAATTGGAAATTTTGCATTTATTCAATGGTCAGAACCCCAAAAAATTAAAGCTTTAAACAGGACGAAAGGGACACAGTCCCAGATTTATGCATTAATGCTGAAATCCGATTGGAGAAACCTCCAGCCGAGATTAATGTCCTTTTGGGGAAAACCCCTAAAGTCCTAGGCTAATTTCCAATTTTTCATGGCAATCAAAGAGCAAAAGAGAGATCTTGAGATGCTAATATTTTAGATATAATGTATAATATTGAACAAATTATTTTTTAGTTGGTTTTATGGAATTAAGGCAAGTCAAGGGGTATCTTTTTAATATGAGACTTCAATCTATTTAATCTACTATCCTAATTTGAAGCCCAGAACTATACTTATTCTTCGACTTATAATAGATAGTATCTATTAGATTTAGATTTTTTTCTTATGTTCATCTTAGACTTCTAGCTACAAAAAAATAATTTGTATTGAGTCTATCTTTCAATACTTTTTCTATACAACAAATATAAATCATATACCTTTTTAGTTTGCAATTAAATTAAGGAATTGAATAGGAAACTGATCATCACTAAGCTTAAAATATTCACATTTTTTTAATCAGCATTTTTGGATATTTTTTTATGAAAATCAAAGCTTTAAATTTTCTTAACTCAGCTAAGAAATCATTTTAGCTTGGAAAGCTTTCCCATGTTAGTTTTCATAAAGTTAACAAAACTGCAAACTCTATTTAAAATTTAAAAAAAATTAAAATTTGTTGCCAATTTTTAACACGATGTAATCTCTTATAACAATTTCAAAATTAAAAAAAAAAAAATAAATTAATTTTAGTCGGACATAGCTAGATCGACTCGGTTTTTATGCTGATCAAGGAAATATATGATTTATAGGATCGGAAATGACTCCTTCACCTCGTTCTTCTAACAGAAGTTATAATGCCCTTAAAGGCTATATTAACTTGGGTTTTCTAATATATTTATTATTGTTATTTACATTGAAAACCTTCAGTTGTGCTTCCCTCAAGTAAGTTACTGTGCAACTCAATTTAAAAAAAACTTTTCCTAAACCATTAAATATATTAAATAGATTTCGATCTGGAAATACCCTTATTCGGTGCAATGTAAATCCCGGTTAATTCCAAGTTGGGTATTTCTAATTCCATAACCTGGACCTGAAGCTGGAACTGAAGCGGTGCCGTTTAAGTTAGTTTTTACTTAAAATGCAAGTCACAAAACCAGACTCAAGCCACCGCCTGGTTGCCCCTTGGTTCCCCGACCCGAGTTTTGAGAGAGACCTGAATCGGTGTGGTCCCAGTTTCTGTTTCTGTTTCTATTTCTGTTTTCTGTTTGTGCCTCAGCTGTGACTGCGACTGCGACAGTGACTGCGACTGCGACTGGAACTGGGAGCGCGGTCGTGTGCCGGGCAAAATGTTGTTTAGCCAACATTTGCATTCTATGAATTTTGAATTTTCTGAAACGCAGCCGTAAGATATCGTCGAGTCGAGTCACGACAACAACGGCAACAGCGTTGGGCTTCCCGCTTCCCAGTTGCCAGCAGTTCCACGTTTCTCCGGGGGTCCATGGGCCTGATGTCAGAGCTCCCGAGGTACCGAGGTACCGAGCTACCAGCTCCAGAACAAGCAGCTCCAGAGCTCCAAACCCCAGACCCCCAGACTTTTTCCATTGCCTAT